CTTCGCCGACGCGAATTATTCGCGCGACCTGTAGAATGCAGGGTGCAAAGCAATGCACCCGTAGCCGCGCGTCGTGTTCCTTTCGGCAACGGCCCGTATCGATCGATTTCAGTCGCGGATGCAACAAGTAACGCGTAGTCTCTCTCTCTCCCTCTCGCTGTAATAATTGTCACGCGAATCGCGGGGATTCGCGTGAAGAGACCGCGAAGAAGCCGCATGACACACGACGATCGTGACGCGACGAGGGCCGCGTAAAATTTCAGCTCGCGTCGCGAAACACGCGCGCGGAATTGGACGAGACCGACGCCCCTTCGTCCTTACTTCGGCAGGAATTCCGTATGCCTTAAACCGGGGGATATCCTGCGCGGTTCTGTCTCGCTTAATCATTGTGAGAAACGGCCGTTCGTATTAAGGACATTAATGGCCCCAAGTTTGCGATGTCAAGGTCGTAGGGCGCCTAATTTTTTGGAGGGTCGCGGAATAATCTCCCGCTGTGTACGTGTGCGTATGTGTGTATATATGGGTGCTCTCGCGCGTGGATGTCGGGAAGATTTGCAAGGAGCGACGAAAGTTCGCCGGAGGATACGAAGAATTCGCGAAACGTATGCCGGAACTTGCGAGCGCGCGCAAACTTGAAATTTATCTTGAGCTACCAGCGCGCACTGATCTTACGCTAATTGCCGCTATTATTTTAAAGTGCCGCCGATATCTCGGCGAAATAGCTCAGCTGCGTGAAATCGAGCTCCTCTTTCGCGAAGGGAGGCCGAGCTCGCCTAAAAAATATACCGACGATCTCTCTCTCTCTCTCCCTCTCTCTCTCTCTCTCTCTCCCTCTCCCTCTCTCTCTCTCTCTCTCTCTCTCGTCTGTCCGTTCATTAGCGGTAACGCCTCGATGGCGTTACTGCGGCTGACGTCGTTGGCCGGGCGCGCGCTCGGCCATTTTTTGCCGTTGGTTTACCGGAGCTACAAACATCGGAGCGGCAAATGCGATCGGTCTAGACAAATGAGCGATGTGAAAAACGGATGAAAGGAGCACGGAATGCAATCAGGACTCTGGAGGAGACGCGCGCTCCTATGCTATCGTAAATCGAAGGAACTTTATCCGCCGCTATAAGCGCGACGGAAGGAGAGTCTCGTAAATAACGACGAAGTGTACCGATATTTTTCTACACGACGTAATTTTGCGAAGTGAAATAGGATTTCAAGCATGCTCGAATAAAATGTATGTCTTCAAATCATCCATCATCGTTGGTTTCGTATTTGCGTCTCCAGCACAGCGGTCCGGATGAAAGCCCCTCAGGATTTTCCCAGCTACGCGCAGCATAGATTCCGATTAGAAGCCCTGAATTTGTCGCACGCTTAATTATCCGATTGTGACAGCAATTGCAAGTTCTATTCTTATCCCAGACATGGGTTCTTTGGTTTCCTGCAGTCGAAACAGAGGCGTCTCTACTTGGTAACGCAAGCCGGCAGAAGCGTCATTCCATTATATTCATTATTCCATATTCAATGACTTGCTGATTTGAATGACCGTTGCCAAATGGAAAACGGTCATGCTATGGGAAATCGCGGTCGTATTTAGTCGACGACGCCGGTATCGATCGTTTGCAGTATCGAACGGGGAATTATTATATTTGGAATGGAATAAAAAATAAAGAAAATAAAAATCTAGTGTGAAATGAAGGTCGGAAGGAATATTGCAAGAAGGAAAACTAGGAGCCACTTTTCCCACTTAAAATCCCATATTGGAAAATATTTACACCTCTTTGAAGTATATTTATAATCAGATATATGCTTACATATACTGTATATATACTGTATATATTCTATTTTGGAAGATACATGTACCTTCAGCTGGGATCTGCGTAGACTTCGGCAAATCGAATGGAAACCCAGAATTAGATCCCAGGGGATTTTTCGCGCTCAGGGGAGATCGAGTACACACGCACGGCAAATGCGTGCCTCAGTAATTCTCTCTGTACGTGTGCGCGTGTTTCGCTCATGTGTAATTCGTAAACCGACTCGTAAAGCTCCGGACAAATCCTGCGGACACAAATTTAACATAATACACATGCAATTACATCGGAGCGCGATAGAGAGAAATCGCAGGCTGCGACGAGCGAGATAATCGCGCTGTGTGTGTGTGTGTGTGTGTGTGTGTTTGCTGTAATTCTTCGTTTTTTGCTTCATACCGACGCGAATGTAATACGCGTAATTTGCAAGATTCGCGCTCCGGGAAGGGAGCGGGTGTCTCGTTGCGCGGATTTGTGCACAAGAAAAATGACGCGCTTTGCGCGAATTTTGCCTTTACATCGAAGAGACAAATCGAATCACGACGCTGTGCTCACGTAATCGCGTTTTCGTCAGTCGTGCATATTTGTCGTAAATTTGTATTGTGGTGAGGTTTGCTTCCGTTTCTTCTGACAAAAGTCCTGCATCAGGTGATTGTGTGTGGGCAGTCAGAAGGGATTTCTCAAAGCTTAGCAATGTAAGCGCCTTGAGTTACCACCGCGCGTTGCGGCCAAGACCGCAATTCGCAACGCGCTTGGTACGCGTGTTCGCCGCCATATTGCACATTTGGGGATAAGTGCCGTTGCACTTTCTCGTAAGATATTTCTTAGTCAGCCGGATATAAAATTGAACGCGCGGGTCAACTTGTCCCGGCCTTTGAGCCTTGATAACATTCGACGAATGTTGCGTTGTTGCTTGGGCTTTTTTTATCGTCGGTGCTTTCGGGGGCACGCAGCTTTCGGCTGACATGGGGAAGAAATCTCATTGCGTTCGGGCCGTGTATGTGTGAGTTTCATTTCGGCCTTCTCGATTCCAGAGTAATAACCGGAGTATTTTCTATACCCTCAGCTCTACTTCAGCTTTTTATCGGTCCTGTCATCTTTGTCATAGACGACGAGGATCGCTCCCGGTGTCGAAGCTGTACAACAATTCCCCCCGCGGCTCTTTCGGTTTGATATTATTATATTTTCACTGCCGCGTGTGAAATTCCGTCGAATTTAATGAGAGAGAGAGAGAGAGAGAGAGAGAGAGAGAGAGAGAGAGACGGCAGTTTATTATATTTCTAGCATAACAAATTAATTTTGAATAATCGAGTGTCTTATTGAAAACTTCATAATTTATATATCAAGATAAACGCGCTGTAATTTAGCAATAATTATATTCTCGGTAAATAGCTCGGAATTCGTAATACAAGTTAGGGAATAACGGCATTTGTTTTAATTAAATGTATTTATATACTAATAATGCACCGACGCGCGGACTTATTAAAATTATTATAAAAATAATATTGCACGCATGAATCTTTTCTTTATATCGCAGTATTTACAAAGATAGAAAGGAAAACACCGCAGAGATTAGACCAGTCTATTATTCTTCGCTCGCATACCAACGCAGCGGGATGAATCAGAATTTTATCTGTCGGGCAGAGAAAGAGAGAAAGAGAGCATCTCCATGATTTCGTCGAAATGAATGAAAAAAGAAGCACGATGAAAGGAAAAGGGATCTTTACGATCTTGCGTCTCGTGAGTCTCGGTTATGAGAATACCGAAGATTCATAATACCGAGAATAGAGCGGCGCGTGTCCGCACGACACAAAAAGATCGCGCTGCTGCTAGTGAAATTGGACTGAAGCCGTTATGAAGTAACGAGTATTGTCATTAAATAATAACGTTTTCGGAGCAGTACGGAGCTGCTTGCCTAACACGTTCACAAAAGCGCCATGCATTATGCATAATGTCCCTGACTTCACATGACTCCGCGTATTACCCGTCGGGTAATGCATTTGCAGTCGAACTTTTCGAAGTGCGCAGAGAGTCGGGGAAATGTAGCGTGAGCCATACTTCCGCACGTGTCACCTTAATAAACTTATTCAATAACTTGATTTCCGCCGAGTTCTTGCGCGCTTCCGTGACTCGCTCTCTCTCTCTCTCTCTCTCTCTCTTTCTCTCTTTCTCTCTCTCTCTCTCTCTCTCTCTCTCTCTCTCTACCTCTGTTATGAGAATGAAATTAGATATCACAGCGACAGTAGCGACGTGATGTATTAAGGCAATTTGTTGCCCGTCGGATCTTTTTTTTTCAGTCCCTAAAACTGACCATCTTTGATTAATAATTATGTTGGGACAAATCCCTCACGGACCGATAAGACACGAGATCAAGTGGCCAACATGGGACAATACCCTTCCCTAAGCTTTACAAGACCCCATGTTTGTTTAGGTATGACCTAGTTTTACCCCCTTGATCTTTCCAGAGAGAATTATTAATATAAAAAAGGAGAGTCCACGACGGGATGGTGAAATCGAGCGAATATCGAGAAATATATTCCCGTGTTGTAAAAAATTCTATTAAAAATATTTTCAATAAAATTTTAACAAATGACTTCAAGGAGAAGCTATAACGAGGAATTGTTCGGATTTGTTTGTTTCGTGTTCTCTTGATAATCTGCGACGTACTCCGCTGTGTTTTGATATACACGCAATACAAAATTCTTCGTAACCAATTTTACGAGAGAGAAAAGAAACACATTTTCTCCCTTTGACAATATTGAACATATCAAAACGCTCGACCAACGATTAAATGAAATTACACATTGGAGCATTTTGTTATACAGATTCTTGTTAAATAATACGGAAAGGTGTGTGCGTGAATTTTATAATACGTTGAGAAATATCGTGTGAATTAGAGTGTGTAAAATTTCAATTTTTCTAATCGTTATTATTATATTATTTTATATTAACACAAACTAGAGTGCTGTGAAAAAGCTACTTTATAATTTAAAATTTATCCGAACATGCGGAAATCTTTTCCACGTTTAGAAATCAATGTACGCAGATGATGGAGTGGAATACATTTCGAGGGTCGTCGACCCTCCGAGGAGAAGTTGGACAACTGAAGGATCTAACGATGAAATAGGAGGAAGGGAAGGAGCAGAGGGACGAGGGAGAGAATGCGAGTGAAGAGAGACGCACGTTTGATGGAAAAATAATCCAAGGTCCCATGTTGCAAAAAGTTTATTAAACAGCTCAGCGCAGCGTCCATCTATAAAGTCGATCGAATCTTATTCTACTTTATTACACGTTTCTCGCAGCGGAAAACTTGCGGATGTTTCTTGAATATTTCAAGGGATGTAGAACGCTTTTGAGTGTATTTTCTTTCTTTCTTCTCTTTTTCTTTTCTCGTGACGCGCAATTTCAATCTTTGCGTGACTAATTAATTCACGATGCCGTTTAGTTGCAACGTCCATGTCTTAATATAAATTACACAGTGCTCTATATTTTGCGACAAAAGTAACAATCGATACTTCCGCATGTAGAGAGGTGCATACTTGAACATCCGTCTGAGGATATCTTTAATCGGGAAAAGAGATGTTTTCTTTTCGCTCATGTGCCACATAAATTTTTGGCAAAAAATGGATGTGATTGAATCGCGCGGATAATAAAAAGAGAAAATAATACTTGACAGAGATGCTTTCGCGAGCAAATACAGTTATTCAGTGTAAACTGAAAAATCGCTGAAAAATATGTTTTTCTCGTCGTCAGTTTATAATGGCGAGTAGATTCGGCAAAATTCAAGCAGACTTCTTAGAATACTCCAATTTTCATGGGGTCTGCAGCGCGCTGTGCAACAGGCACAGAAAATTATCTGCGTAATAGCGATACTTTTCGTCGCGATGACAATAACACCGAGATGTCATTACGTGTGTGTGTGTGTGTGTGTGTGTGTGAGGAATCAAGCGAAGCAAATTTGACACATCGAAAACAGATATCGTGGCCGTGCACGCCTCGCGCGATCATTTAAGGGTTATTCTCTCTCCCTCTCTCTCTCTCTCTCTCTTTCTCTCTCTCTCTCTCTCTCTCTCTCTCTCTCTCTCTCTCTCTCTCTCTCTCTCTCTCTCTGACAGACCCATGAATCGCGCAACAGGTGTATCAAAGATATGTTCGATGAAAGATATGTGAGCGGCGTTACCTGGGATTTGCGTAGAGATTCGTGTTAGAGATGAAATGCATTCGCAAGAGGAAAAATATGCTGTGTTTAACATTTTAATCGCCGTGCCAAGTGTGCGTGTGTTTCCGGTGCGCTGGAATTTTGGCGAGTTTCGCGGCGGAATACATCGCGAAAATTAAATCGAGGATTCGCGTGCTGTTGTTGACAAACCGCGGGTGCTGCGCGAAAAGAAAAAAAAATATATATTTAATAGATAAGCACGCGAGAACATTAAATACAAAAGCGCGTAGAAAATTTGCATAAGTGATATAAATGAGCGAGCGTAGTTACCTGAAATAGCATAACTGTGTTTGTTTTTCGCATAAAGCTGTTTACCACATAAATGTGCTTTATAGCGTCCCGTTAAGCTCGCCCGCGGAAGTGTCCGAAGCGTTTTGTCATCTTTATGCGCGAGCGCGAATGAAATATAATCTCAAAATTGGGTTAATTAGCAATTCTTCCTAGGGGGCGTGGCGCTCATCGGCGTCCATCGTAAATATTTATGGAGGACGAGTGTATTTGTAAGAATATTATTGGTATATTTATTGAGAGGTTGAGGGGAGGCAAAAATATGTAATTTTCAAAGTACTCGCGTCCACCATCTTGGAGTATTCTCCGTCTCCGTTGAGAGAATGTATCGATTGATCGTATTTTCCACAAATCTACTGACAAATATCGATTTCATCAATTTTTCGCAGGTCGCCAAGCGCGGCACACCCGACGGTCTTGATTAGTTTACACATTTTATACACACAAATATTACACATTTAAGATTACAATGTAAAACTTTCGCCCGTTGTCCGGCTAATTTGTACAAAAACACCAATAAGTTGAGATTATTATAGATATTTGCTTACTTATTTATTTATTTATTTATTCACTTATTTTCGAACTTTCTGAGCGCCGCGCGAACGATCGATTCGATGTGCGTAATAGAAAAATAACAAGCCGACGCAGAGGGATGCAACGCCCCCGTCTCTCCCTTGCGAGTCTGCTTGCAACTCCGGCGGAACTAAAACTACAAAACGTGAGATCTGACAGAGAGTTTCCGATTTAGGCGGAGAACGTACGACGTGTTCGCCGAGTGTTTCGAAAATCGCATCGACGTTACTCGTTTCAGTCGATCGTAAAAGGAAGTTGAGATTGTGTGCACGCAGGAAGATTTCGATGAGCAATGAAACGCGCGGACACACGCGAGTTCCTTACTATCTCCTGGAAGAGCGGCCATCAGCAGTGAAATCGCCTCGCGAGAACAGGGAGCCGAGACACGTCGGGTTACGCCGTCGTCTCGACGTATAATCCACACGCGACTTAGACGCGATCCTCCTCCTCCAGCAATCGTATCACCTCTGAAACAACGATAGTTCCTTGCAACTGAGGACGAGAGAGAGAGAGAGAGGGGGGGAGCAGGAGAGGAAGAGATAAAGATTACGAGATGCGTGCTCTCTGAAGAGGTGGATTTTTGAGCTTCACGAACGGGACGTTCGTTTATACGCGCGTTTATCGGCGGAAACGAAAAGCGAGAGGCAATTTCAAGAGAAATCGTCGTATAAACGTCGTATAAACGATGCTTACAGCTCCCGTGAAATCCAATTGTGCCTGTCCGTTGCATCACGTAACACAATCCGCCTGAGTGTCATACACCGATCGCGACGACGGTTACGCGCGATAACGTTCGAGACGTCCCGACATTCAACCCTCCGTTAGCCGCAATATCCGATAGATAAAATACGTTCACGGGCTACGACGTACCGCCCTTGTTGCCGCAAGCGACCTCAAGCTTCTTTGTCGATCCTAATCGTCTCATTGGTTCTTCATTGTTTTTTTCATTGTACTTTTTAATGCGCCTGGTCTATCGGTATGAACGAAAGGAAAATTGTCTCGAGAAGCTGAGGACAACAATGGGGAAATTGGAGATGTATCCTCGGGATACGTCTCCATACAGCACGGAAAATTGCAGCAACGTTGTAGCAATGTTGCTGCAATTTTTGTGCTGTACGGGTCGATCCTATTCATGGATGGAAAATGGTGCGACTAAAGGGGGAGGGTCAACACGTTCGCTACCCCGGGGTTTGTTCGGCTATCTCTCTCTCTCTCTCTCTCTCTCTCTCGTAGCATCGGCCGCATTGCATTCGTCTCTGCGTAATTATGTGAGACAAACTCGGTTTCTTTGCGTGAAAAACGCGGAGAAAAAAAAAGGTATCGCCGTCGTCGCACGTGTGTGTGGACGCTGGTAACAAACTGCGCCGCAGTCGGGATTGGAAATTTTGAGCGAAGGGGTGAATTCGCGACGCGGGAGATCGCTTCGTCGCACGTGTGCGACGCTTGGTAGCCAACGCTAATTTGAATTGAACTCATAATCGCGAAGGATTACAGCTGGATCTGGTTACGGCTATCGGCCGAAGTAAATTCTCCCGAGTTGCTCGCGACAGGTCGATATTCACCGATCGCTGTTTGGTATACTAATATTATGTTTCCGCAATAAGTAAGCTTCAAACGCTCGAGGTAGGATCAGAGGGAGAGAAGGAGCAATTATCTATTCGAATACTTTGGAGGAACGCTCAGTGTATATATACTTAACGCGAACTAGTATCATGAAAGTTACATAACGCACGAGAACTGTGCTGCAGGAACTGTGCGCCGGCGGTGTGCGCCATTATTGACCACGTCGGTGCTTTAACGAGTTGTTGTTGTTAACTGGATTAAACCGCGGAGGTATCGGCTTAAATTTCTACACATTTCTTTCGTATACTCTGACGGCACATCTAGACTCTGCAGATGTTCGGAGATGTTATCGCTAAAATAGATTGCGTTATACAGGCGCTCCTTTCGAGACATGTACACTGTTGCGTGTAAAAGAAAAAATCTACGGAGAATCCTTATAAGTCCAAGATTCAAGTTTCTCCTATGGAATACATTCAATATTCAGTACGTCTGTATTCAGTGTAACTATAGAACTATAGATACACACAAAGTGTTCAGTAATTTACGCCTGTTGACTCTTTGACTAACGAACCGAACTTTGCAGAAGTACTTAAAGTAGCGAAAAGTGGATTTCTAGGAGTTAAGCGATGTTATCAAAATTTTGTTTCTAGGATCTTTGGAAGTTACTGTGTACAAATATAAAGTCAAAATTTTTCAAGAATTTTTCATCAAAATAAGACTGGATATTCATTCATATATACACAATATGCAAAATTTTGCTTAAAATCTGTATAGTAACAAAACTCCGAAATAAATATAATTTATAATAAGTTATGTAATACTTGGATTTGCTTTGGTTATTTATATTGGTTTGAGAACTCGCTATTTCGAACTTGCAATTTTTAAATTCACCATTGGAGATAGAACGTCAAAAGTCCCGTGATACAAGTTTTTCCAAAATTTTTGTCGAATCTTCACATTTTTTAAATAAGCTCAATCGATTTCTCGGGCTTTAATCGCATAACAGAACTGAGTTAGCGAAAATGTCGAGGAAGATCGTCATTGAGCAAGCCATTTTTCCAATACCCTGCGAACGTTGTCAGAATCGACACGTGCTGTTAGAGCGCTTTTTTCAATGGCCGAGAAACGCGTGATGATGTCCGGATGACGTTAATGTTGAGGTGCGTTAAGAATGCTAAGTTTTATAAAATAGCGCGACAAAATGACAGAATATTATGAAAGTGAAAGTTACAACGCCGCGTAATGTGTTATGGTAATTTAATGTAATCTCTCGATCTCGATAATATTCCACAATATCGCAGCAACGTGAAAACATAGACATTGCAGTTGAATGTTTCTATACAGCCGGATACAGCACGATGAAAATGAACGGTTAACGGTAGCCTGATATTACCTGATCTGGCGGCGAGAGACGCCCTACCCAGATACACAGTCGAGTCATTTCCGCTCAATCCGCTATTATTGCTAGCCTGCACAGCGTTTCCGGTGGTCGCCATCGCGATGTCCCCGTGCCTGCAACCTACCCTGGAATAAAACGCGCTCCTGTTTATGCGACCGCATATTATTCTCACCAGTTGTTAACTCATTATCGATCTCTTTCTTGAATGTCGAGAGAGGAAGAGGGAGAAAGGGGGAGAGAGAGAGAGAGAGAGAGAGAGAGAGAGAGAGAGAGAGAGAGAGAGAGAGAGAGAGAGAGAGGGCGAGATTAAATTGCACAGATTAAAGCGAATTGTTTTCGCTTCAAGCGCCTTGAGAAGTTTCACGATGTTCATTAACGGTTGCACCAAGATACATGCAAGGATCCGCGTATTTACCAACTTCCCGCGCTCAAGTCTCGCGCGGCTTGCATTCGAAGGCATTTGATGGAATAAACGGAGCTACTTTCGAAATTCTGTCTAAAAGCATTAACGAGCATGTTAACAACTTTGGTGTTTAACAAGAACGACTATTGTATAATTACATACTTTACAAAAGCGACGACGACTGCGCGGCGGCGCGTAGGTTCTCTAGGCACGGATGTTCCCGAAATTAATCCCGACGTGCTGGCCAACTGGCATAATTCGCAAAGGAGAGAGAAACCTCCTTGACTATTTTAAAGCTTTGTCGGCTAGACTGGAAGGGAAGGACGCGACGGAAATTGCAGGAGCGACGTCGTCGTCCGGCGGATTACCTCCAACAGCGGTGGCAGCTGAAGAGCTCGAGGAACGCCTGACGAAATTTTCGGTTCATGAAGCAATACGTGATGGGATTGCAACAACTGGAGACGTAGGCCAACAGCTGCACCAGACTGATCCCGGTACTGCCGACGACGGTGTACACCAGATCGGGCGCGAAGATGTACCACGTATTGATAATATGCAACGGCGCCCAGCACACGAAGAATTCCAAGACTATCACGAAGAGCATACGGATCACCTGCAACATGCACGGGCAAGCGTGCTGCGAGATGCGACGAGAGCACGGATATCCTTCGAGTGCTGTCGATATAAACCGGACGCTTTCTATATTCGGACACTCGGCTGTCAATCCAGAGTCGAAGGATCTTCTCAGATCGGGTAATTCAAGCGATACCTGATCTGAGTGGCACCTGAGTGTTCAGGTCAACTCAACAATACCTGACGTAGGTAGTACCAAATTATCTTGACACTTGATCTTGGCACCCAATTATCACCAATAAGTACCCGGGTAAGTCATTAGTATCCGAACAAATAATACCCCGGGTACTCAGTAATACCCAACAGGTTTAGGTAGCGAGAGCGAGTAACCAAGTACTCGGGCGACTCAACGACACCCGATTCCACCAAGCAGCACTCGGCTGCTCAGCTGTAACTTAACGATACCTGATATGTGAGTGATGCTCAAACATCTCAATAATATTGTCCAAACGGTATTCTCGAGCGGAATGAATAAGGGACGAGCTCTCTAGGGCGGCGTACATACGTCCCTTGCAATAACACAAACGTCACTTGCTTTGGCCGCAGTGGCTTTGCTATTCTAAGCACGCGACACACGGAATCAGATCGTCGCGATGTAGTATTGCTGTACGATACAACGGGGAAAATGTCGCAATTCGTATGCCCTCGGTGTATTTGTTGCAACATGAATGTAAGATTCTTTGAAACCGAGTCGCTCTGCGAGTGGATAATAGAGTTAATACGGCCGTACGCGCGCGCCCACCGATAAGCATCTCGACCTAGCGTGCGCACCGCAACAACACACGTTTCTTCTGCACTCGTTCCAGATTCGATGATTTCGTGGAAAAGGGAACCCACCCGGCCCCGGCGAGCACCGCGAGCAAACCTGCTGTGCACACACTTTGCGCCATGCAAGGCCGCGCGTGTAATTTCCCATTAAATTTACAAAGTGCAAATCGCTGCTGCTCGCCAGCGCACGCCAGCTCGATCAATTGGACACCCCGGCGCGTACCTTCTTCTTCGCCTCGATGCTCTTCCCCATGTAATTACTGCGTATCATGTGTTGTCTGCTGAGCGGGCAGATCGAGTCCTGTTGATCCTCGTTAGCGGTGTCCTTCCCGTCCCGCACTAAGCATTCGCTTCCGTTCGCCCGTATCTGGATCCTGGATCGCTGGGGCAAATCTGTACCGTGACACTTGCCGGTAAGCACCCTGGAGACCACCGTCCTTTGCAACCGCACCTTTTTTTGGAACGAGAAGTGCGATGTCTCGGTTAACCGTTGCACGTGCTGCCTGAATGTTCTCAAGACGGCGGACGGCTTAATCCGCCGGCCTGGTCCCTTGATCAAATTTATCTAGCGGCCGACCGTTCTATTGGATCTTGAAATCTCAATTAGCCGGAGGAAAGTAGCGACGGAACCAGTCGCCAGCTCCCCGTCGAGCCGCGGTCGAGGAGAGAGCGGCGCGCGCCTTCTATCGAGTGCTAACGAACAGACCGACCCGATATCGATAAGCCGCGCGATTAATCGCGCGACGTTCGAAGTCGAATAAATTTCTGCGGCCTGTGACTTCCGAGACCGTGCGATTTTTGCCGAGAGAGCCGATTTCGTTCGAATATCTTGATTGGATATTTATAGGCGTTTTAATTAGTTCTATAGCGCGGTGACACCGCGCTTGCGCAAATTAAACGCACTCGATTTTTCTCCTCTTTCCGACAAGGCGATACCTCGAGCGAAATAGAATCCGGTAATTCGACCTGCGTCTCAAGACGGGACTTTGACTTGGACGCTTTTCTCACCCTAGACGGTACACCTGGAGATGCACTTTGAAAGTGTCCCGAGGAAGACGAGAAGCCTCGTCGCAATCTGGAAGTTGAGCCGCAAGCGCCGAACACCACTGTCGAACTTGCGCCCCGGTCGCTGTTGTTATTATAAGTTGAGCCCCGAATCGTCGTGGCGGATCTTGTTCTCTCGACTGTAATTCATAACGTTTGCAACTTGACCTTCGGTCTGACTGCCTGGAAAAGAAAGCCTACAAAATTCCACATTAGCGGTTGATAAATAAAAGGGGGGGGAGACTCGCGAGATGCACTTCTCTCTCTCTCTCCTCTCTCTCTCTCTCTCTCTCTCTCTCTCTCTCTCTCTCTCTCTCGCCTCCTCGCGTATCGGCGCATTCGCTCGCCTGTACGCCTGCCGGCGCGGAGAGTTTCCTGTTAATATACTTCCGGCGAACTTTTCATCGGATAACGCGAGCTGAAAATCCGCGGAGATAAGTGAGATCGACGTGCATGGGCAGCTCTGGGAGACGCTTCCGCGAGGTATTCTATCGCGAAGCCGACGTGGCGGGGCTCGACTCGAAAATTGCTACTGTCGCATCTACGTCTGATATGTCGCGGCGACACTTCACTTACGTCTTCTCGTGCACGTCGATGACTGCCGTAACTCGCGCTTTAGCCCGCGCCAAAGTTTTATCGCTATCAGCGAATAAGCCAGGCTCATGAACAGCAACGGCACCAACAGCAGCGTGCCGTCCAGGAAAAGATTGAACGCTCTCTCGGAGCCGACGCTCGGCCATTCCTCGCGACACTTGTGCCTTCCTGAAATTGTCAAGCAGCGTGGAAAATTGTTCTCCTTTCTTTCTCTCTCTCTCTCTCTCTCTCTCTCTCTCTCTCTCGACCGTTTAAACATAAAACCGTCATCGTATAACAGTGGGTCGCATTTCCGCCAAGTTTGCATCCTATATTTACAACTACCGGAAAACGACGACGTGGCTAAAATAGGCGGCAATTTATAGCGCGGCGTTTGTTCACCTGCGAAGGTGAACCTAGACGCGCTCGTTAATTAAACACTTGTCTTAGACCTTCTTTTATTTTTAAGATCGCCTTTCCTTCGCGATAACGTGAGTGAGGAAGTAAAGCCTGCTTCGCGACGTAAGCGGTAACAAATTAATCAGCACGGTCGTTTATTCATAGACCATGAGAAAAGCAATCGATCGTGATTGGTACATTCGCTTACTTTTCACGTCTTAAAGCAAGGTTGTGGACCTGGAGAGTGAAAGATTCTTTCACGCTGACTATTGCGTATTCACCGACGCCCGAGATTGACGTTCGATCGTTGCCTGTCTGTCGTGTAAAGTCATCGTCGACAACAATTCTGGGGCGGCATACGATTACGTTATCGCGGATCGGTAATTGTACCATGTGTCCTATTGGTTAGATTAGACGCTGGCGAGAGACTATTGATCGTGACAAAGGAACATGACTCGACTAATTTAATCGCTCAGGATCTCAAGGTAACATTTTGCAACGGTGAGCTTAATATACGGTCGCGCGACGGCAATGAAGCAGATGGGAATTCCAAGTGGTCGGCAATATTGTGGAAGTTTGGTCGGTCGATGCGCGCAATATGAGAAAAATTGTATTTTAGAGATATCGAGATATAGATAAGAGGTAACTTATTATTTCGTCCTCGAGAGGACGTTAAATTTCGGTGTAGTTAAATCGGACGCATTTCCCGCCTTCTCTTGGTGATGAAACGCCTATCGTGTGAGTGAACTTCGCGACACAAAGGGTTCCCTCCGTGCAATATAGCTGAGGATTCAATATGCCGGCACTCGGACATTATGTATATGCATAAGCTGCCTACGCCACTGAATGAATTTCCCGGTGAGGCGGAATAACGTTAACGGTATCGAGTTGAGATAAAAATGTCAAAGTAGAAAATTTGATTCCAGCGCGGCAAACGAATTTAACCAATAACGTGTAACGCAAATGTCACCCGGCATCGCTGCGTGCGCTCTGTGCGTTCTGGACTTTGAATATTTGGCAATTATTTATACTGGCCGGCGATTTCACGGATTTATCAGTTGACGGGAGAATCAATCGATGGACAAATAAAATTCTGCACGCGCCACGGCTTCCGGTGCGCTCGGCTGTGAAACGCGAAATTGTTTCTTTACTCCCCAAGCTTTTCGGAATGAAATCTCGCACGAGACGCGAATTCGAGCGATTCTTCACTCATACAGAGAATCATCTTTATATAATAAGTAATAATAAAATATACTAAAAGTAAAATCCATAAAGCGGTGCAACACACTAAAACAGCCAAATTGTCCCTTTTATCTGACAAATGAGAATCTAATAAAAAGATTTGCGTTTATTCCGAGTTGCAAGCGTGGGTGTTTCACCGCCACATCTGTTTCTATCGCAACCGCGGCGGCGCAAGTACTAATAATCAGTAGTAGCTCGCAATCGCGATGGTTCGATAAGCATCTTACTTCATCGAATCTGAACCGTCTTGCAATCAGGCGTCATTGCGCCATCGTAAGAATATATTCTCTACCGACTCTAACCGATTGAAACGCTCGCTCGTATGCGGACGGAATCTGTTCCAAGTTAAAGTAAAACATTTGCTCTTGCAATCTCGAGTGGCGGTATTTTCACACTCGCTTCGAGCGAGAAAACACCACTGGCACCTTTCGCTCGTCTCGGAGTGAAGTTCCAATCCGAGAAATATAGAGAGATACATTGGCTCGAACGACACGGCGCTCAAAAGCACGGAGCACCCTGTTATAATTTCGCGATATAATACCCTGTTGTTTTCGCGAACATAATTTTTTTGCTGAACATGGCGAAATTACGAGATGCTCCATGCATTCCCGAGCGGCGGCGCGCGCGAATGAGCGAAGCATGCGGAAATACCAGCTTACCTCCGTGCAAGCTTTTCAGCCGGGACACAACGAGGATCGGTGCGTTCCACGTGAGACTCAGGATCCACACGATGGCGATCATTTTGTAAGCGTGAAACCGTGTCTGCCATCGTCTCGACTTCAACGGCCGGCAAATGGCGAAGTAGCGTTCGATGGAAATTGCGACCAGCGTCCAGACGTCTACCGACACCGAGACGGCTGAAAAAGCATATCGTACATTTAAATCGCGACGCGTCGCGTCCGCCAGTCGGTCGATTTCAATATTTTATGCATATGCATGCATGTATATGTGTGCACAAAAGTACACTACTTTTTACATCTGATTTGCCACTGACGTTTCTGTCCCATCAGCAATCCGCTCGCGGTACATTGCGCGATAGAAACATTAAACATTGCGGCGTAAAATATCGACAGCCGGTCGGTCAGTGCAATTGCACTGTGATTCCGGTTGTTTGGCCCGGAGAAAATTAAATAAGTCGACACAGTCGATCGGAGTTATTTCGGAATGCTCGAGAAAAGGGGAGGTGCATACTTCCCAATCTCTTTGGATGTGGGGCAACGGTGAGCCAGCAATAAAGTCACGTCCGCTTGTTAACAAAAAATATCAGTCGCGCTTTGTCGATGATATAGAAGAATTCAACATTCAATAACAGAAGCCCAAGGGTTGCAGCCAACTACCCGGACCGACGGCGTACATTGGAACAAAAAAGAGAACAGAAAAAAAGAGAGAGAGAGAGAGAGAGAGAGAAAGAGAGAAAGAGAGGAGAAACGAATGATCGAACGAACGAACGAACGAACGAACGAACGAACGTGACGCGCGCTCTCTCGTGAAGAGTCGCTTTCACGCTGATGTCGTTTCCTTGCTTGTCACCTATTAGCTGTGCCAAGGCCACCGGCGGCGCTGCGGAGTTTTCGACTGGAAAGTGTCGCCAAACAATTTCCGCTTTGTACGTCTCAAAGTACACACAGAGGATGGAGAAGCCGTTTCTATGAAGGGATGTGCTTTTCTCTCTCTCTGTCTCTCTCTCTCTCTCTCTCTCTCTCTCTCTCTCTCTCTCGCGACGAACTCGGACACGATTACGAAATTTTTCCGCGACCCTGCTGCGACCCACTTGCACACGCTGCACTTGCGGTGTCAAGGCTATTAACGGGAAATTCTCGCGTTAGAATCGCATTATGAGGTTTCGTCGGAGGCAGGATGGGACGTCCAGTCCCGCCGGCACTCTGCCAGTTTTCGGCGCTCTCGCCGGGATTTTATGATTATTTTTATCATTTTAATTACATTTCACGTGAGAGAACTATCCTCTTGGCGCGTGTTATCATCCGGTAAAGAAATTGTCCGCCACCTACATCCAACCTTGTTCCAATTCTCAGTGATTGATATCTTTTTTAATCTTTGTACGTCTTACCGACTGTACATTTTTTATTTATAAGTGCCGTGCACGTTGGACTCTTTATTGCGCAATATTGCAATTATTGTATTGAATGTTTCGTTGTTTAGTTTCGTCTTTCTATTTTTTTTCACTTCTGTAATAATGCATGCCACAATATCGGTGTAGTCTGGCTTTACAAAAAGATATATAAAATATATGATATTTCCCCTCGCTCCTAATGTAATTTGCGCTACAATATCTCCGTGTAGCCCGGATATGATGGGAAAACATGTAAGTTGCGTATCGACGTGCAGCTGCGAGTAAGGATGGACGGTCGAGATATTAAAGCCGAGGAGGTGAATTTCTAGAAATCATGTACAATATATCGAGCTAATAAATTAAATTTAAATCCTCATCACTTATACATACACATACATAATTTAACGCGTCGTAAATAATTTTAATTATATTTAAGAGCGTATGCGATAAATATCAGATTACGCGAATGCAAATTATCTCGTTTGGCGAGAATTTTCCGTTCGACCGACAAAGCTCGCGTAATGAAAATGTGCATACGCTTCGATTTAATACGTCTCGTAAACGGGATTATCTTTCGTGGTTTCTATCCTCGTTACGGTGTCCTTAATTACGTCTCACTCGGAATATCCCGGGCGAGAATGTCTCGTCGTCTTCGGCTGCTCTGCGACGTGAACCTATCGACCACAGTGCGCGATGTGACGTGACTGTGAGAGCGATCCTGATTTTCGCAACGTGAGATCGAAGAGAGACGGAGGATAAGGCGACGTGTCGACGGCGGTCTATAATGAGGAAAGGAGAAAAACAGCAGCAAAGGAAAACACAGATAAGCGGAAACAGGCGATAAGCGGTGACAGGCGCGTGAATTAATTCGCTCTAATTGCAAAAAGTTAATTATGCGCCTTCGCGACGGAAGGACAGAGGGAGGAGGAATTGGCCCGGAGAATAATTCGCGCGGAGCGGCGACAGTTGAAGTCAACTAAGTTAAGGGTTGGCGACTCGCGGCAAATTGTTCGTTATATCGCGAGGAAGAGCGAGGGGAAACAGTCGCCTTTTCAGTTTACACAATATCAAGGGGGCATTACGGGGCGTTGAACTTGTCGTAATTTGGAAATCTTTAACCATCATTAGGCTCGTGGTGATTAAAGCGTTCAGGACTTCGAGGACGTCGAGGACGGAGGACCTCTCGAGGAGAAATTTGCATAAAAAGCTGCGAATTCCGTGTTACTCACGCATATCAATCGGCGTGATTAATGCGCGAATTAATACTGCGCGGCACGAAGCTCGCTCGTTAAGTGAAAATAGTGCACGTACGATATGGACATTTCTCACGAACGGTATTTCGCGACGCGGCTACGTAAAAGTCGCCGTCGTCGTTAAAAAGTCACCATTTTAATACGGAGCCTCGGAGCGCAGCCTCGCTGCGGATATATGGGTCGGGCTTCGAAACAGAGCCGGCCGAGGGCATAATCCACGACGAAAAGGACGAGAAGGGAGGGGGCAGGGGGGAAAGGAAAAAAAAAGAAAAACCGATTACAGCCCGAGCTTCGGTCGCGACGACAATAGGGACGTCTCGCTCGGGAGGAGAAATCCACGACGGCGAAAGACGCATCGCACTCGCGCCCGATTTCAATTTCAAAGTGGTATATACGCGCCGGAAAGAAAATTATGCCACATACATATACATACCGTACACGGTGTATCATCCCCGAGGAAGAACCGTCCCGCGGGTGCCGCGGGTGCCGCGGGTCCCGCGTTTACCGCCGGAGAGCGAAAGAACGTAAATTCGCGCGGATAAAATTCCTTAATAAAGCGACGATCCTCCAAGTTCTGCGTCTGCCTTTATCTTTCCCGCGCGTCCGACATGGCTTCCCAAAGAATTACGGCCTGGGTTTCGCGGTGCAGCCACGTGACTTTACATGCCGCGTAATTTTAAGTCCCACAACGAAGATTGGAGGATGCGAGGGGTTGGATGGGGAGGAGATATCGGCCATCGATCCGCGAGAATATCTGAACGGAGTATTCAACGAGGGGAAAGTCTAATTAGCGATAAGGGCAAGTTATAGCGTTTCGGTCTTTTCTCCGCCGCGGTCTTCTTCTTCTTCGGTTGTACATAGATTGCGCCTTCTTATGAAAGATTCGAAGACAAGATGTGAGGCACGGCTATGTATCCCCTCTCCCCCTTCGCCGTCCATAGACACGCTATCTTTATCTAGCCTTTTCCAATAGTAATCAAGCTGTAGACAAGACCGAATGTCTGTGGCATAGGCCATCTCTTTTAGATGAAGTCTCCGCAGCCTCTCGTGGAGCGCTCGGTCTGTATAAGTCGATAGTCATAACCGATCGCTGCGCGAAGATGTCGGTGCTGATCTTCGATCGCACGGCAGTTCGGATGCGCTTCTTATTCCATTGTGTCTGAATCGTTTTGCAAACAAGTACATACGCGATCGTGGGCAGCAGGGTTGCTCGTAATTTTTTTTCTGCAAATTTCAGGACGCATCCGTCTCGCTCAGTGGGAGTGCTCTTCCATTGGAGGATCAGGATCAGATAAATCCATTCCAGAGCTCAATAAGTGCGGAAATAAACTTTCATCTCGGTAAAGCCACTCAATTTATAATTTCCTGTCTCTGATTCTCTCCAAGCTGTCTCCGATATCGACGTATCAGAGGCGCGGGATGAATTTGGTATGTGCGGCGTACTTGAATAAGTAGCGGTATATCTTCCCCCGAGACTACCTCGGGGGTGCCGTAAAAGCTCGCGCGCAGAACCATGCAACGATCGTTCGCCTTTTTACACGGAAGACGTTCGACGAGCGAAATCTCTTCGCGAAAACGACCATCGGCCGCATTAGAATTCCACGGATGCGGCGCGACGAAATTGTTACACACAACGAGCGGTATGACGCATAATTTACCTGCGAGGAATTCTCTTCCTCGGGACGAAGGTCTCCGCGAGTGAGCAAAATTGACTTTGAGAGACAGACGCGCGAGCGTCTTACTCGCTCTCTCGCGCGACTGCATCGCTATGTCCTCGATTGTTAAGTTCCGACGAAAATCGAAATGCCGATGCTCGAAATAGGGCATGCTTCGGTAGACACGCCGCGTGAGTTTCGGTAAGAAACGTTTGTTAAGTTTGAGCCGCGACATGAGGGTATCTGGACGGAGTGTTCTATGAGCGAAAGGTTCGACAATAAAAAAAAAAAGTATCTTATTTGTAAAGTGATTTTTCACATAGTCTCATATTCGCGAAGCGAAGCCTCTTACGGAAAAAGGATTCCTCTTCCGACAAAGCGATTAAAATGAACCATTCATCTAAAGTTTACTAGATATTATTCTAATCGTTTTTCTCTTACTTCAAAAGGATTTCCTCTTGTATCAATTAATTTTCCTCTTATATGAAAAGGAATACATGTTGAATGTCGGCTTCTTTTGCTCAGTCATGTTCCAGCTCCAGACACGAGTGAAAAAATAACCATACGCTCATGGGTCAGAATATTTCGAACGCTTTTCAAAAAAAGTATGTGTGTGTTGTGATCTACTGGAGCCAAAAGTATATCGATATACATATTATTTTTCGCTATATACCTTATACTAATTTTTTTCAAATTAACTTTCAAATTATAACCAGTAAGAATGAAATACAGTGAGAATAAATAATAATCCTCTTAAAAAGGATTAAGTAATCTGTGCATAAAAGGAAATTTATATTAAAATCAATAAGATTTGTATTGTACATATAACATATAATCCCTCTAACTTTAAGAATAGTATGTTTATAGTATTTTGCCCATAGTCTTAGAGGCCATGTATAAGAATAAAATCCTCTCAAATTTAAATGATTCCGCTTGTTCCGAAATTACTATTTTTTTAGTGAATTTACGCTGAAGGGCAAGTCACGCGAGACATTTTGTAAATTTTCAATATTACGGCGGGCTCATATTTAGCCCTTTGGCTCTTTTAAAAAACCGATTCCTGCATCATCAAAATTTCCAACACTGGTTCCAAACTCACCTCGTTTTACGATACTTTGGATTTTTGTCTCGTTGCGGCTTCTTCAGGTATGGAACCGTGATGTTTACGATTAACGGACGCGACGTCTTTTTGAAGCGGTTTGCTACGTCAGTTTATCGTAAGTTGTCAATGTGCTGTAAAGCGAATACGTGACCAGAGTCGAGTGACCCGAAATACCGTAATCTTGCCTTTACTGCTAATTAAACTTACCCCCCGTAGAACGCTCTCCGAACTCGAATGTCCGAGCATTCTCATGTCGACGGGCCGAGCGTGTTTCATCGCGGCAAAAGATGAGCTTCCTTCCATTCGCGCGAAGCACAAGCATCGGATGAAAGGTAAAACGCGCGCGCAACTTGAAACTTTGACGAACGGCCCTCACGTGTCCTCGTTCGGAAACATCAACGCTTACACACCGTCGTATGGCGGCCCGCGTGTATACGTCGTGCTCGATGTAATTTGCCGCTCGCACCGTGAATATATCACACCTGACGCTTACAAACCCGCCGGGCATCGCATTGCTAATAGATTGATCGTTACATCACGGATATCTGTCTAATGGTCGGTATGTTTATCGGTCAGCTCGGCGCGCGGAATGGCGAGCAAACAAAACAGCGGAGGAGAGAGAGAGAGAGAGAGAGAGAGAGAGAGAGAGAGAGAGAGAGAGAGAGAGGATTTCAACCGTGGGGAAGACGAGCCCTTTGAGAGCAAAATATTCGTTTAAACATCCAGCAGCTCCGTTGCGGTGAATGCGGTGTTGTACGGAATATTATCCGGAAATTCATGGCCATCAACTATGGTGCAACCATGTCGCGCTACTATTCCAAAATATTGCCACGATATTCGCTTCATTCTCGGAGTAACACGCACGTACACACACGTGTATGCGCAGCGCAGATACTTTTGCGGAGAGCGTTAATAGCGTACTACTCGCGGGATCATCTTGCTTTCCTCTTCGATCTACGAGATCCGCAAATCTCGCGTAACAGCTGCGATTTCCGCAAGAATCGCTACTCGGCCACCGCGCGCGGCAAAATCGTTGCGACTCGTCCAGGTGCGCGCCTCTGTGTACGAGAGGCAGCCACTCTCCGCCTCGTGTGACGGAAATTCAATACTGACAGAGATTTATGTTTCCCAGAGAACGCCGAAAAACATGGAATTCAAAATATCCAAGATGCATGATCCGTAATGGCGGCGTTGCGCCATGTCGGATGCTTAATTTCACGTCGAGGAATTTCTTTGTCGCGGCCGGCGACGCCCCGATGGAAAATCTCTCTCTCTCTCTCTCTCTCTCTCTCTCTCGCGTTCTCGCGGTTTTTATTCGCCGGAATTGCCGGGGCGTTTTTTGCGGTAGAAGGCCGGAAGATAAAGAGATGTAATTTGTCCGGTTAACAATTCCCCGGCTGGAGTCTGCGCGGGAAATTAAGTGGACGAGAGAGCGTGTTTTATTGCAAATATATGATAGAACGCACTCGCGCGCGCGCGCGCGCGCGTTCCGCCGCGTGATCATTCGAGGCGCACTTGGCGCGATACCGGATTGCACTTTGCAATTGAATCTCACACGTTTCGGCGAAACTCTCGCGTGGATGTAAAGCATGAAAATTGCATGGTGCGAAGCGATGCGTTTCAAATCAGCGCTCTCTTTCTCTCTCTCTCTCTCTCTCTCTCTCTCTTTTTCTCCCGGTCTCGTCGTCTCCCTTTCTTGCGCGGCTCGATCAAAACGGGCGGAAGGAGAAGGCGGCGGCGGCGGCGGCGACAAATTGCGAGAACGGATCTTCCTTGCCCGTTTCGCCGGCACGGTCACTTTCACAAATTAAACCGGACGTAACGCGTGATTGATGGGGCTGGGCCACTCGCGTATGCGCATCGTCGCCGAGGAGAGCGAGCTATCCGCGGGGAACTAATCGGGAATCAAATCGAGATGTAAAAGTTTATCCGTGCCACGCTGTGCGCGTTCAATTTTCACTGAATAGTGACGACGTGCACGTCGACCGGGTCAATGCGGCCGTCGCCGCAGATTGAAATCAACCACGTGCAATCTACACACGGCGATATACCGCCGCATATTAGTTTGCATAAGCGAAGGTATGAACATCCGCGGATTCAGCACGGCCACTCATTTACACATTTTCCTGCTTTCGCCCGTCCGCTGTTCCTCATCTCGTATTTCTCCCTCGTCCTTTTTTTCTTCTCGTCTCCCTCCGTTTCTTCCTCATTTTTTATTTGCACGCGAAATCTACCCGGTACACTGTGGTACCACCACTGTGGGGAAGCATTTCGCACGTAATGCACGGCTGTGCGAAATGAGAAATGCGATACAGCTACATAATTGCATTCTTCCCGGTAGAACGAAGGATAGAATAAAAGTCACTTTTCTTTCCACGGGCGTTTTCGCGGAAGATACTTTGCTTCGGACTGAGCGGCAGCTACTACTCCTGCGAAAGCGCACGTAATTGCGCTGTCATTACGTCTGAGCCAACATTTATGTATAATGAAGTTATGAATGCCCCCGCAGTGTTCGGAACGAATTAAGCATCGACTTTGTTCCCTACCTGTTTGACATTAATTACGCGGCCGCGGCCGCGGCCGCGTCGGAGAATCGCTCGACGTTCTCCGACGACGACGACGACGACGAGAGGCGCGGCGCGCACTTACTCGCGATAAATTTCGCATTTAATCGCGTATAAGACCGAACGCGTTCGCTAGCCCTTGCTGACTTGTCGGCCAGTTAGCCCAGTGTGTGGGACGCGCGGAAGCTCTCTTCGCAGCTTTCTTGTTCCGTCGGGTCTCTTCGCATCGCACTAATATTGTGTGGGAGTCTATTGTCAAGTCCCTCAAAGTCCCGATGACTGAGAGGTTCTTTCGGTTTCTTGAGCTTCCGCGCGGGGAAATTGGCGGGAGTCCTTCATGTATAGAAGCAGAGTGTGCTTTCACAACGACTCCTTTACCTATCGTTATAAAGCCGCGGGGAAATTCTCCGAGCGAGAACATCGTTGCCTCGGTGATATGCGGGTTGCGCTCGCGCGAGAGAACTTCTGTCGCGGAAAGTATTCATTTTGCTAACTGAGGACGTTTGATCACATTGTGACCCCCTGATACGTACGATTTTGTGAGGGAGACTAAATTTCTTATTTGTAGCTGAGGAACAAGGAGACGTCGAGTTGCCTTGAGACTGTTATCGCGGGTCCATCGCCACCTCTCATCAGTGATTTTTCCGTGTCCGAAAGTATTCAAAATGACTCATATCGAGGCACTTCCGGCATGTTGACTCAACTTTGCCTTTAAACGTCGCCGGGGACCGGAAAAGTGTCTACGTGGGAGAATTCATCTTCGGTTTGTAAAAGCGAGACATACCGACGCGGAGAAATTGGATTTTGCTCACTCGCGCGAAATCCGTTTGGGGATCTCGGCAAAGAAAAAGACGACGACCAAGCGCGTATTTATAATCCCTTTCCAACATTTATCAATACATATCTCAGTCGTTTTCTGGACGCATCCTCCCCTTTTAAACTCCGAGCGCTGGAAAATGTGCCGCGACTGCTGTTTCAGCGCGAGAGATTTTCTATATCGGGGCGCGCCTTTGATAAATAATTCTACCTAATTCAACCTAATTGAGCAAGGTCTACTTTCTCGACTGGAACTTTCAGCTTTCGTTTTAGCGAATGTCGACGAGTTCGCCGACGTGGCTTTCAACAATTATCTTCATCGACCGAAATAATCCGTTTAGTAAATTTTTTATTCGCGAACATTCCGACTGAGGCAGACGACGAAGGCAAGCTTTTGCCTGACTCTCGAGACATCGTATCGCACTCGAGTCTGTGCTGAACCACGTCGATTGTCGTCATACGCACAATCACAGCACAAGCAGCTGTGACGAAATTGGACATTTGTTTCCGATAACGTCGCCGCAAATGCTCTTCGCGTCGTCCGAATGCGCAACCGAACGATGCTTACCTTGAAAATACGGTATCAGCTTGCACATCGTGAGACCGAAGATGAAGTTCTTGAGGATCTGGCCCAGAAGAGTGAAGGGCATGCAGAACACTCCGAGCAAAAGATCCGAGACAGCCTGAAACGCACATCAACAGCCCCCTCATTAATCACATTAATTTGCGATTTGCGAGAAACGCGAACACCCGGAATCCAGGCGGTAAAAAGTGAAAGGGGAGTCGACCAGGTGAAGGAGAATTTCAGACACAATCGATATTTCGGGAAATTCAACCACCAACTGGCTTTATTCGACGAAACAAGAGGCATTTAAACGTCACACGTCGAACATCCAAGCGTCTTGAATCCAAGCAATGTCGCGGTAAATGGCTTCGGTTCTTTATCCTTGCACTCGGAATTCCGACGTCCAGGTCGATCGATCATCGATAAACAGCCGGACGATAGTTTCCAACGTCTCTCCGTGATAAACGCGCTCACCCCGGATACTCCCGCCCATCTTCAAGAATAATTAATAATTATCCTCGACGATTTTCAATAATCCTTAATTATTCTCCCGCAGGGACGAGATGTGCGGTGCCGTGGAGGATTACGCAGGAATGAAGTGAACGGCAACGAGATGACGCGTACAGCGCAGACTTCATGTTCGGTCCGGATTTAATTTCGTTTTGCTTAACCGGCTCTGTCCGAATGAAAACAGCGGTTGTCTCGAAATGCGGAGACGCCGTCGTCTTACCGTGACAAATATTAGCGCTTGTATCGCAGCGCCCATGCCGGCCATTTCTCTTTATTCCTCGTCTTTCCTTTCTTATTCTCCGGCTGGTTTCTTCCCGGAAGAAACTCGTGAAAAATAGACTCGAAAGTGACGCTGCTACCGTGAAAACCGTAATCCCTCCTCGTCTCCTCCGCCAGCCATCTGTACATATACACGTACATATGTGTGCGTGTCCGTGATATATGAGCTTCGCGTTACAATCGGCACGTTCAATTGCCGGCGCAGGCGATGTATCCCACAGAGATTCGACGCAATACACGAATTGTGGCTTGTCGAGCTTATACAGAGCGATTTTGCGTAAACGCTCAATTACGCTTTTTTTTACCGCATCGTAACGGTCGAGAAGATCTTGTATTCTCTCGGGAAGTTTCGTCCAAATTTCACGAGCTCTTTTCAGGCTCTCTCCTGCTGAGCCTTCAGTCGTAATGACGTATATTTTACATTCTTCAAGGAAACAAGGTTTCTCATATTTTTATGCCGTTTGAGAAAGTTATGCAGTGCACTGTGTGACGGAAACGCGGCCCGGCCATTTTCAACCTTACCGTCACACGGAATATTTACGTCGTAAAATCTTATCACGCGCAAACGGCAGGTTTTACGATACTTGCTTTTCTTCTCTTTTTTTCTCGCGCAAATTACAAGTCACATCGTGGATCAGAATAAAAGACCCATCCGTCGCGGACGGGACGAGTTCTTTCTCGTCTCTATTCCCGAGATGTCAGCGTGTTTGCGCTAAGTGGCAGGCTCTTTCCGATGCGCTCCAGCTTTTCGGTCTGTCCCGCCGCATACAACCGCAAAAGTTTTCACCTGGAGTTATCGGCGAAAGTTTCATCGTTCCATTTAAGGAATTGTCACGCAAAATGTGCGACTCTTAACACCAGACCACTCGTCTATTTTCGTGGCTGACAAACTTGCGTGAGAAATAATCTATTTAGGAAGGCACTTCCGATAACGAATTAAGCAAAACACTTTGATATTTAATTTCCTGTAGAGTCAAGAAATTTATTTCCTCACGTTATCGTCCCTAACGTGTGTTCCATGTTTCAGCTCGATTTTTTGTTATACTTGTTATATATTCATTGCAGAATTCCGTATATAAGCTCGTACAGATCCTTTATACTCTTTAGGTGAATTTTTATAATTTGGCATCGTTCGGATGTAAAACGTACTCGACTCGACGTATATCGAGAGTTTCCCAGCTGGGGTCCTCGAATTGCATTTCGTACAAACGCACATTTGTGAATTTTAAAAATATCGTGTGTATTCGATATACAATGTATTGGAACCGTTCAGAATATTCATATTACAGACAGAGTCCGATTATATTCTTCTATATTTTCTTCTACATTTCTATATTAATTGACATAGCGCAAATTTTGCTTTGCAACGAACAAAATCACGATACGCCACATTGAACGGTACACGTGGTGGCACGTGGAACGTGACTATTTAAAAATCCAACTAACTCGACAGCGTCAATCGATTTTTGCTAGACGCAAACGATATTACGTTTAGCGCTTCTGTTGACTCTCTTGTACGTTCGTTGTGAAATAAATGATTTCCAGTTGGAATTATTTGGCCGACGACGGAATTAAGTTTTATTTCATTTACATCGACATCACCGATCGAACGAAGCGCAATCGCACAGCGAAAGGAGAGTATCGAGTGTGCAAATAACGTCTCGAGATCAGAGTGTATACTTGTGTTTCACTCTCGCGCGCAAGTCCATTGGATGGTCTGCCGGGGGAGCGAGGATTATCATGGAAACGTCATCTAATCAAATGTCATCTATTCAGATGGCACCTGTTTAATTTCTGCTGCAGAATGAACTATCAGTGGCAGATTTAGCTGGCCGTTCAATCGCTAAAAACAGCCGATATCCGAACAAATAAACAGCACGAGAGGACTTTCGAGGACTTGCGTATGGATTTTAAAATCGAAAGGATTGAATCCAACTCGAAACACACATCGATATTTGATTTTTCGTAAAGTCGACAACTTTATTCTGATCTATTTCAAATTCTTCTCAGTGATGAACGCTATCGTCGCTAAGCTGATGTTGTTACCGTGGCAAGTTACAGTGCTTCGCAAGCACTGAAATATATAGAAAAGGGCATTTCCCTGGTTGAGGCGGGAACTTGTAAAAATCACTTTGTTCGACCACTGAGCTGTTCGCGTGCTTTGCAGATATAGTTGTTTTGCAAATTCCTAAAACTGGAGGAATGCCGATGTTTCGTCCGAGAATTCGTCAAACGGTTAATGTTAAGCGCAAGAGTAAGCAGATGCGTTTCACACGGAGAAACGTTGTTTTAGTCAGCAGTTACCAAAAGCGGAAACACGTTTTAGTTTAACGCGTGTCTAAAATTTGTTAGCGAATTGGAGCACACAGGAACACATGGGATTATTCTAATTTCCGCACTCCAACAAGATCCACGTAGCGGTCGTAAAGAATGTTTTTCGCCGACGCCTCTGCGAGAAGCCCGTTCGAGAGGAATGTCTCTCTTTCGAGCGCGCAGTCACAGATTTCCTCAAGAGTCTCAGCCCTTTAAAAGCCCGATCGCAATTATAAATCGTCACAGTATATAAATCTACGTGGTTTCTCACTGACAGTTGACAAAAATCTCCTTCTCCTATCTCTATCTAAATTTAAAACCTTACAGTTGTTCATATTTCAGCGGTTCATTCGCCGCCATTTTTTCGGGAGGCACACGGCACAGTGTAGAGACGAAAATAAAATCTGTCACTTTCGGCAGACACTTGTTAACTGAGCCCCACCCCCACCCCCGTCTTCTCCACCGCGCAACCCGGTAACCTTCTGTCAGAGACAGATTTGAACTTTTATTTCGCCGATAACAGCGAGAGATCGATGACGCGTTAGAAGAAAGAAATAGAGAAAGTGAGGCACCAAATTAGGTCACGTGCCGGATATCTTGATTTAACTTTCGCGCAAAACCGTAGCCTACGGCAATTGACTTGGATATCGACTTTCGGCGGCTTTCATTCTTTGATCGATGGCAACAGTGGGACGACGGTATTTAAGCAATCTCAACTCTGACATTTTGCGCTGTGCGTGATGTGTGAGAAAATATTTCTTTTTTATTTCGTCCGTGACAATGAACCAGCAATTGCGCAATATGCACTTTATACGTCAAGCACGCCAAAGAAATTCTCGCTCTCGGAGGTGTATTTGAATCCAACAATGTAAGATGCGATGGAATATTTCCGGCTCTCTCTCTCTCTCTCTCTCTCTCTCTCTCCTGTCTTTTTTTTTGCAGTTTATTCATTCCCCGTGGAACGATGACGTCACGTTTAGGAGACTCGATTGATATATGCATGTGCGTATATGGGCTTGATCGTTTTTCTCCCGTTCTGTCAATAATCGCATTCATCTGACGTTCACGCGTAAATAAAAGCAGTATCATATGTGGTTCAGTCGTTATACTTTATTTATGATGACTATTTGACACGTATTCTCGAGAAGTCTGTGCCTGGCATGTGATAACGGGTAGATGACAAAAGGTCATCATGTTGATGGATTCAGAGTGGACAATGCTATTTGCGATGATCCATATGAATAGCGAGCCCTTTTTAAAGCGCGCAAAGCCGCGCGAGTGCTTGCCATATTCTAAAATTTTTTTCCACGCACAGCCGTAACCTTTCCAGCGCGTTGGTCACATACCGCCCGGGGGACAAATAAAATGCAGAGATCATGAAAAATATTTGTGGATTGTAGTCACAATTCGCCAAATTCGCGGACCTCCACGGCTTTCACGAGCGCTCGAGCTTCGCGCTTGCTTGTTGTACTATAATGCGGAAAAAGGCACAACTAAATCCGGGAAGTTAACTTTTTTTAGTCCACTCAATTTTTTTTTCGCGTTTCGAGATTGCAAAAAGTATCTTGTATAAATGATAGTAATCGTTGCTTCCCTTACTTAAATAAATCACATCGAGAGAATACGGATTTTATCTTTCTCGTTTTTTGAGAACTCAATTGCACGATTTCATTTATTCACCATTTCGGCTGGACGCAACGATATTACTAGTCAAATCGGTATCGAGATATATATATATGGAGAGAGAGAGAGAGAGAGAGAGAGCACAATCCAACCGATTAGATTCAATTGGGATCCATTAATCAGATAAACGAATCACTAATAATTTACTACGCGCATAGCACAGTAAAAAAGTAAATAAAATTTACGATAGATTTTTCAATTGATAATCGCAACGTACAAATATCTCAAAGCGATACGTTAGATTTTGAAATGCCTGGCGTTGGACACTGGAAATTGCAGTGTTCGGAATTAATTGATAGAGATTTTGGTCGAGTACATTCTAATCACATACAATGATTATTTCGACCGAGATCCACTTTATTCGCAATCTCGTATGTGACGATTACATTAATTTTGATTGCAGATTTGCCGATTATTTCAACCAACTAACACCCGTATTCATAGTCAGGCCTTATATTTAAGACTTTCTTAAGTTTATCCTCAGATGGTCTGTAGCCAATAAAATAATCTGTGCAGCATCTAAAGATGGATATAAGGATATCTCGAATATAGGTCTGACTATAAGACGCCTGACGGATAGAAGATTTTTCCATCGATCAATACCGTGTTGTGCAAAAACGCTGTCGAGAGGCGCGCAATTGATAACTTTCTGCAATATACCACATTGTATAGACGAATACGGCAAACTCTCACGGTGGATTATACTCGTCGACCATACCGACCGGAAAGGAAGTGTACTTTCCGGCGGCAAGACGAAGTCTGATAAGGCGCTTATCGGCACGATGAGTTTACGGGAATCTTCATTGAGGGAAATAGCGGAAGCACGAGGCGGCGGAGGGAAAAGATGTGGAAAATACGTATATTTGCACACAAGTGGATTAGCGGAACGATTTTGCGGAATAAAATTGCGCGCTTAAATTTTAACAACGAATGCGGAAAATAATCTGCACGCAACGTGTCGTGTACGTGTAATCATATCGTGCATATCCTTATTTACAATGAAATATTGTAGAATCAAGCGAAAAGCGTAAGCCTCGAGATAATTTTCAAGTTTTCCCGCGACTCAGGACGCGAACAATAAGGAGCTTTCACTCCGACTGGCTGGGAAGTTTATTAATTTTGCCAACAAGAATGCGATTTGCTAAACTGTATTTCGTAATGCGTGTCTGGCACGGTTAACCGCACCAAGTGCGCGTAAACTTTTCAGGTTACGTTTATCGCGTTACATCAAAGGCGCAAAGGCGTCTCCTACGCGGGGAAATAATATTTGAAACGGGACAAGTCCATTTTTAATCACGCTGTAAAAACGCCGCTTGAAACACAACGCAATCGTAAACGCAATTCTCCTCTGCATTTTCCTCCAAGATTATTCTCATCATCCGAGTTTCGCCTTACAAAAGGCTTGGGGAGTATCCTTCTTTCGTCTCTCTCTCTCTCTCTCTCCCCCGTTCTCTCCTTTTTTTTATTCGAGAAGCATCACGTGCGGCGAGGCGACGCGACTTATTGACGACACGACAGTTATTGTGAACTTTCCCTCTAGTTTCGCGGTGAAACGCCTCGGACTAAATAATATCTATGTAAAAAAATAGCCACAACGTCTGCAGCTTATAGTCCGTTATGGAGACGCGCCAGTGCCATTCTTGAGAAAAAGTCTCGCGATGTAGAGGCGGAATGATCTTTCCGATCTTGATTTCGTACGCGAGTATACAAATCGAACGTGTTATTTCTATCCGTCTGCCTTTCTTGGCGCTTCCGAGGAGGAAATTATATCTGGGCTGCTCGCCCGCATCGTTTCAATCAAGCTTGGCATCTATCGCACGGCACCATTATTGCAGCGATTGAATCCGAAATACTGATATCTGATCTGTCGACACGTGTCGCGTTACCTTAATCAAATTGATCTCCGCACCGCGCATGGCCATTCGAGCTCCTGTCAAACGATCATTGCTCCAACGTGCTCAGCAGTGCTTCTCAGTTGTGACAACGTGGAACATCACAGTCTTATCGGAAGAGAAGAGAAAGGATCGTTTCTCCGCCGCGAATGTGCATAAATTCCAAGGAAAGAAAAATCACGCTTTCATCACGCGCTTACTTCCCGCGAAGAAATGACTCTCATGTAGCAAAACGAGATTGATGGGCCAGCTGCGATTAAATGTACGTACGGAATCCTTTCGGCGGTCTGCTTCATCGTGACCAATCGCTCGCCTCGTAGCCATCGAGCACGTAGCAGAAAAAGATTTTAGACTTCCGACATTCGCGAACGTGACCGACATTTTTCTTCGTTCCGGCGGAATGATGACAATGCACGCGTGACGAATCGCCAGCAGCCGGTGCAACCGAAAAAAGTGCTGTCGGCAGTTTCTCTCCCGGCGTACCGCCCGCGTACGAAATATGCAAAAATGCTTTGGCAAACAGACGCGCGCGCATAGGACAATGCGGCTCACGGCCGCCGCGAGTAGCCTGTCCGCTCCCGTCTCGCCCACCTTATCATCCTCTCCGTCTTTATTTATTAACCCCGAGCGCGCGAGTCACCGGATATTTTTGTTCGCGCGGAGAGTGTACCTGCACGAGACGGTCGTAAATGTTGCAAGAAATATTGCACGGAGCAGACACGCAATGTCATATTTCAACTTTGTATCTGATTCGAAAGACTGTACCCTGCTCGAGTCTATGAACGTAATGCTTGCGCATGATTTTTAAATAATATATCAGTCAAACGGAAACATAGTCACGCGGATCGGTAGCGAATACAATGCTGTTGGTTCATACCGGAAAAGGTGAAGCGTGACCTGGTCAGAAGCGCGAATTCAGGCCGAGACGATTACGACACGGTATTTCTCGTATTTTTTTACAATGCGACGCCATTAGAAGAGATATACATATAGATAGAGTTGACTCGACTATTAACCGAGATGAGGACGGTGAAACATCGCAATCCGCGAGATAACCGCTGTCGTTACGGCCGATTCTTGATAAAAAATGGCAGGCTGAAGAGTCAAACCATTTCTACAAGCTCGTGCATTTTCGTACCATGTATCATCCCGATGGAAGAGAGAAATAACACGTTATCTTCTCTTTCTCTCCTGGGCAAAATATGTAGATCGTCGGTGGCGTCCCCGTGTCTTTGACCTTCGTGTATGTCATCAAGGACAGTGATCTCCGAACAGGTTTTAGTCGGCGTTTATTGTTTATCAAAAAGTTATTAACAAAGGAGGAGCCTCTGTCTCCAATACAGTCTCCGCAATCCTCGAGAAATCCAGTCCAATCCTGCCCAATCATCGTATCATTGTACCTTTTTACACAAATAAAATTCTAGCTTAATACGTTCATTTCTTCAAACTTTTTTCCCTTGATAATTGTTTCGTTAATAATTTATTCGTGGTAATTGCCACCTGAAACACCTCGAAGATTATTCAGGGTCGTATCTTCGATAACGTCAGAAAGATACGTGAAGGTCAGATGTATCGCAGGTGGCACCGGTAATCTACATATCTTCCGCCCCCTCGCCCCTTTTGTTTTTATTTGTCACGAACATTTGTCGGGAAAAGAGCGGAACGAGCGGAACGGAAGAGACGTGCGCGTGGAGATAAATATCGGCCGGCGACTCGCAAGAATTTCAATTTCGCGCAAATACGTACGATATATCCGGCGGGATTTGTTCAGAGAGGTCGGACGGCTTCAATTAAGGTCGATTACAGCGCGCCGTTGTAACGGGCGAGCAGCTACAGCCGTCATTTCGGCTATATCGCCGAACGTGTTACCGCTAAATAGCATCACGCGACGAGTACGTGAAATACGGAGCACAATCTCAAATCAATCGACAAGTTCCGCGGAGGCGAGAGAATCCCATTGCCGCCTGCATAATCGATAATGGCGATCGTGTCACAGCGCGAATTTTAAAACGTCGAGGGCGCTGCACACCCGCGCGATAAAACCGGACCATCGCGTGCCCAACGTTACCTCGGAAGTCGAGCTCGAAACATTGCTTCCACCTTAATCTTGCAAATTCCATCCAACTCGGAGGACTACAGCGGAGGATCTCGAGACGTAACACTCCACAGGCTATCGTTTTTCGATGCTACGCAAACCAAGTAGCGCCATTCGATACGTCCGAAGCTCTTCGGAAACTTTGACATGACATGATACGACACTTGAAGCTCGAAGCCAGGAATTTTCGATCTCTGTTCGGGGTAGAACTAATTTGCAGGAGCGTCACAAGATTCTGCGCAATTATTACTTAGTTGGAGTAATTTTTAGCGTGTTGCAGCTGATTTTCGAACGACAATTTTCGCCGTGGGAAAATTTAATATTCGATCTTTCGAGTTCTCTCAATTTCACGAATATTCACGCACTCGACTATTCACGCTTTAAAGTTTTACTATTCAATTATAACACTTTAGGAGCGCGCTTCAGAAATTCAAAATCTCAGAGCTTCAAAGAACTGAAACTTCAGATATAATTTGCCACTTTTGATCATTCAAAGTCATTTAAAGTCCCTTCATTGAGGTTCGAACGAGAGAAACGATTAAAAATTCTTTAATATTCTATCATCTCAAAAATTGTCTTAATATTCCATCGTCCCAATTTCATATTTTTTCTCTAAGTTTTTACGATGAAGATTTACTCGAAAGGCGCCTTGAATTCTCCATTCTGCGTCACCGCGCGGATATTTTTTCTCGAGATTGAAGAGCGAGTCTGGTATATTCTACAGATCGCAGGGACTATTTCATTGCAACCAATATACCCATATGGAATCCGAATTCGCTCAAAGTTTCCGCGAAACATTCAGTTTTGCGATTTCGAGCGGCAGTTCTTTCACCACAGATTCAAGAGAATCCTTATTGCTTCATCTTCGCTCGAGTTTCGAGCGAGTTTTCGCTTTAAGAAATTTAGAGAGTTTCTATGTTGAAAGTCTCCACAGAAACTCAGAACAAGACCGTAGAAATTTAGGAAGAGCTTCTATAGAATTGAAATTTCGACTCAGGAACGATCGCGCGTTTACGACGATAGAGCGCGCTTACGGACGCGTAGCGTCCGTGGGACGCTAGCCAAGGACTTACCAAGTTCAGCAGATACACGTTCGTCACCGTGCGCATCTTTTTATTCCTCGCCAGGGTGATGAGCACCAACGAGTTGCCGACGATGGACAGGAAGAAGATTATCCCGTACAGCGGTATGATGAGGGTCTTCATGAGGCGGTCTTGGCTCGACTGTTGGCCGACCGGCAGGGTGACGTTCGCGATGCCGGAAGTGACGGTAGTGAACCGAGGCAGACCTGTAACGATCGGCGAGTAGCCGTCGGTCGCTAGAGCACCAAAATACTCCGTGGAAACCAGGTTGTCGGACAGATTGCGCCCTTGAATCGACATTTTCTTGTCACCCGTGCACTTGGATCTCTCATCCCCCTTCGCATCGATCCATGCGTTCATATCGACGAAGGTATCCTGCTTCGGGCGTTACATCGCATCGAGAGTCCACCTACGTCAGCTTGTACTTCTCTCCTTTTATCAACAAGAGCCTCGTCACTTTCTTTTCTCGCACGCACATACGCACACACGCACATACGCACGAGCACACGTCTAGCGGCGGCCTGTAAACACGCGTATCTCGTTCATCATTCGTTCAGCGCTCGAGCGTTCCTGCCACCGACACTACCAGCCCGCGATCTTTCGCCCGCGTTCCCAAACATATTTCTTCCCGGCTCTCCCGAAACTTCGCTCCGCACTTGAACAAATTATCCCGAAACGTAATCAATTACCGCGGCATTTCCTTGCGCGTTATCGAGGCTATCGCCGTTGGCGGAGCGTCCGCCGGAACGGAGCGCCGAAATAAACGGAAAAATTGATTTCGCCGAGCGAAAGTCGCGGCCCGCATTCACCGTGTGTGGTGATTGCAACTGCGAACCAACTCGGTCCTGCGAAATGCGCGGTGATATATCCCGAGGGTCCTGCAAATAGAAGGAGACATACAAATTAATAAACGTCGGACGTTACGGCGTAGTCCTTTGACAGGGCGTGGTCCTTTGAGCAACACGGACAATTCACGGGCAACGTAAATATGCACACGTTCGTGTGTCTAATTTCACGTTGGCTTCATTGACATTCAAACGCCAATGATTCATAGGTCGCTTGTAATTCTCGCGTTAGGATCCCCGTATCACGTGCAGCTCTTGTTTGACTCGTCTGCTTTTTTTCTTTTTCAATCAGACGACGAACGAATACAAATCGTTCTGTACTTCAAGCTTGATGTCTTTACAGGCTGAACGGCTCTTCTGACGACTTTTACAGTCTCGTAACTGGAAATACTTCGTACATGATGAAGAGGTTAGTTTGGTAGGAAATACAAGATTTTCTTACAGCGTTACAGTAGCTTCACAAAGTGGAAGAGTTGAAGGAGATGAATTAACGCTCAACCTTGAATAAATACGAAATCGGCAAGTTCCCTTCAATTCACGACTTCTATCGCGGTGCTCTCGCGCAGCTCACTCGATTCGCGAGTTAATTGCATTATGAGCTTCCGCTGCCGCACTTTTTAATCGCGTCGGGGAATTACTGCGACGATACTGCCCGAGTTGCTGCCGCGCAAACAGCCGAGATACCTTACAAAAGATCGCAACTTTATAAGTCGCTCCGCATCTCACGTAATTACGACTCTCTCTCTTTGTCCTTTTTGTCTCTCTCTCTCTCTCTCTCTCTCTCTCTCTCTCTCTCTCTCTCTCTCTCTCTCTCTCTCTCTACCTCTCTCTCTGTTCTCCCTTTATCTCTCCCTCTGTTCACGTCGCACTTTTACGATTCCTCGTATCATAACAACAGCGGGCAGACTTGCTGTTCTTGCGATACAAAATTTCCGCTTTATCCGATCTTCGGGCTTTTCCACGTCGTTTCTCCCTTGCATTTTCCCGGCCGTCTGCGCTACGTAAAAAATACAGTGCTCATCTGGGTAACTTGTTCCTCACTTTTTCCGGTGCATTCGCCGTGGGCGGAGGAGCGTTGGGACAATTACAGCACGCGTCCTCTGTTACAGCGACTGTCGAAATTTCGTCAGTGGTCACGCGAAAATTCCGTGTGTGTGTGTGTGTGTGTGTGTGTGTTACTGCTAGCCCGCCGGTAACTTCCAGGCGAGTCGAAAGTGCACTCGGGACAGTGCGCGATTTCGAGCGAGAGTCCAAAGTGCGTGGAGTGGCTTTAAAAAGATTTAAGTTTGAAGCGCTGTAATGGCTCGCATCCAGCAGAAATTTCCGCGAAGCTCCCGCGAATTTTACTTGTCTCCTTCTTGAAGAACGAGCTACGCTTTAATACCGTTCGATTCGCCATTCGGCCAATTCGAGGGAACTCGACGTAGTGCCGGTCCGTAATTGTTCCTAAGTCACTTCGCGACAGATGTATCCGATCAAGTGTCCGACGACACGATCGATTCTTCAAGCGACGGCACCGCGGCAACGCGACATAAATTTCAACAACAATCGAACGCCGCGCGACGTGAATGTCTCTTCGGGCGCGCCGATGCACCGATGCCTGATTAAATGTCGCTTTATTTATTCGCCCCGTGTCTCGTGTTATTAATCGCACACGCACGCTGAAGTCGAGGGAGAAAAGGAGGATCGACGATAGGAGCACATGACGGCGTTCCGCGGCGCGTACGACCGCGCGCGAGAGACCGATCGTAGAAATTAAAAGACAAATTCCCGACGTCCCGCGGCTGATCAGAATTCCGCCCGCGGACAGCGATCCGATTTTCGTTTCGCGTCTACCCCGCCGCGAGATTTCACTTACGAATCACAAATATGCACGGCTCTCCGCGACGTGACGCGCGTCGCTGATCCGCCGGTCATAGTTATCGCCGTGATACGCTCTCGAGTATCAATCATGAGCGCGACGCGCATAGATTCGATGCCACGTATCGCGGCGAACAATATGCCGCGCTCGACGAGGTCCGACGAGCTCGACAAATCATAACGGGAAGCAGCGAATTCCACGTCGAAATTTCACCGTGAAGCACCCAATAGTCCGCGCTCTGTCAGTCTTCGGCGCTCCCGAGAAATGCACTTTCGGAAAGATTCTCTCGTGAAACTCGACGAAACAATCCCGAGAGGGAGTATTCCCGAATGAAATATCGAGTGAAGATCTAAAAGGTTTCTCAGCGCGACTGAAAATTGATCGAGAGATGAGACGTTAGAATGAAAATGAATGTGCTGGTTGCCAAGAGGTGGGCTGAGCCGTGCCTTTGAGCCTCATAGTTCTGCATCTTTCATCACGATGATGCAAATGACTGGTGGCACTCGTGTGCATGTGCGTTAAAATTGAATATTTTGTGGAGATTAGGAGCAAAGGTCGCTAGGCAACTTGAGGAGAATCGGGGCGGATCTCTCTCGGGACTTATCGTTCGTTAGTGATTCGTTCATCTTTTTTTCCACTCCCGTACAGCTGAATATTTCACAAATCCCAAAATTTGCGCAAAAATTCGCAGAACCACGGGATTTTAATCCGGGTTCTGCATAATGAAATGAAAACACTTCCGCGCTGCTTGATTTCCCAAAATTCGGAATGTGAATTTATTACACGCGTTATACGGAGCGCCACCGTGCTCGCGCGCGCGCGCGGAGTGCTGTAACGAGCGTGTCGTCGCGTGACGATGGCATTACGAATGTAATTCGTTCGAGGCTCGTACGCGTTTTTAGAAGCCAATTTACCGGCGATGCTTATCGCGCGGCAGCAACGAGACGTTTCCAATGACATACGACTTTCAGCCACCCTCGCACGCGTGTGCGCCGCGCGCGTGTGCATTCGCTCGCGCGATGATTCGCGCGGTAATGCGGCGTAAATTCCAACGACAATCGAACGCCGCCGAGTGAATTTCTTGGAATATAATCGCGGCGCGATTAATTAAACCACTTTATTTATCCGTCCTGTGGCGGCGGAACTAATGCGGAACGCGTAAAGTTCAAACGAGAAAATCAATTGATAATTAATAAACGACGCGCTTGCCGATTTCGTTGGAGCAATTAATTGAGCCTCGCCCGGCGTTATTTATCCGCCGCGGCGACGCATCAGCGCGGATAACAAACTCGACTCTTCGCGTGCAACGAGTTACTTTCCGTAAATTTTCGCGATCCACCCCGAGAGAGAGAGAGAGAGAGTAAGTGGACTGTTTTTTTCCTCGCAAGATTGATTCCCAGGCGCGATATATGGCGCACACGCGCACACACACACACACACACGTGAGGCGAGCGAGACTCTAATTGAAGGATAACAGCGCGCGCTGAGCCCGGGAATATTCGCAAAGGTTGATAAATTTTCCTCTTGAATGCTCGACTGGGGTTAACCGAAATTCCGAGGGGTCTGGGGTGCCGTTTCGCGCGAGCTGGCGCGTTAGAGCGTTAACGCGCCAGCTCGCGCGTACCTGAGACAGTTTTCACAATTGCTGCCGAGAGCGCGGCATACGGCCGCCCCACGTTTGCCATTTGTACAGCTCAACATCTCCGGGACCGGGAGCAGCGCGTGGAACGAGAATGAATTTCTGAAGCGTCCGGGATACCGCGAGGCCGAGATAACGTACACTCGTCGTACACTCATTTGACGTACATACGCTCATTTGTGCGAGATATACACCGCGCCGGCGCCGGGGCGTCCGATCCGAAGCGGTAAATGGCAAGATGCGCGCGGATGTACGACGGCAATCTCATCAATCGACTTTATAATTTCACGCGCGGAATGCACAGGGCGTCGCATACACGCACACGTGCACACTCGCGGACTCGCGCGCCGCGAGTCTGGATCAGCCGGGGAAAAATAACTGCAAATAACTCGGCCGGCGCGGCGCGGCGGAGAGATTAATGGATGAGAGTTGCAGGGAAATTGCGGCATCGGGCAGCTTCAGAGCCTCCTCGACATCCGACCGAAGCTTCCGGTTCATTTGTTCGATATGAAATACCCACGAGCGCGCTACTCCTTTAAGGCTCTCGAATGTTGGGAGTTGCACGAAGATACTCCGCGAAATACCGATGAGTCCGTGGGAAACGGCACGAGGTCGGCGGAGACGCACCGACTGCAGGGACTCGTTCGTACGGAGCGTCCTCGCAGCACACGTAGGCCGAAGCGTGCCGTTGCGAGAAAAGTCTCATTTTGCCGTCCAGGTCGCCGGACCACCGGGGGTGGGTGGACACCGAAGACGTAAACAATGTAGAGACCCGTCGGTTTACTAATGCATAAATGTTGCGATAAATGTTCGAAGGTACCTCTCGCTGTCTGTGCGCGAGCGCGAGCGCTCTTCGAAAAACTCCGCCTTGATCTCCGCTGGATCTCCCGAACGGCCCGGAGGTCAAGAGAGATGTTGCAAGAGGGGTGGTGGGTATGTAGCGTGTTACGTATCGTGGTCATCATAAAATCATGCTGGAACCGTATGGTGAACCGTTGGTACTCAGCCGAGCGAGGAGAATGCATGAACCCAGTTTACACAGTTTCTTTCAATCTCCCCCGTATAATTCAGCTTCTTCACGTCCTTCCCGGAACCGTTGCTCTCTTGAATATATATATATGTGTGTGTGTGTGTGTGTGTGTGCACATACGCGCGCGTGCTTGTCCGTTTATTTTGTTTCAAGCTCTTGGCAACTCGGTGCTTTCCTGTGCACCTAGGTGTCTTCGAGAGATACCGCCGTAAATATCGCAGCGCGAGAGATCCTTGCGATAAAGAGGAATGTTTTTATGCGTTCGTATATATATATATATATATATATATAAACTTATACGAACCAATACGTGGATTTCATCACGGTGTACCGCGGTTACTCGCGTCCATTATTTACCACGACGCTATTCTTTTGTTTATATAAAAATATATCCTTTCTTCTGAGGAAAAATCTCAAGGCAAGTTTCGGAGTTTCCGGACGATAGAAAAAGTGGAGCCTTTAACCACCGAAAGTTCGGGCGATAACAAAATGAAAATTTCTCTCGACCAGTTTGTAGAGCAGATTTCGACGCAATTTTAATTCAAGACTCAGCTTCAAAGATATGTTATATTTAAAATTAAATTTAAATTAAATAAATAATTATAAAATAATAATAAAATTAAATTATATTTAAAATCAAAAATGAGGGAAAAAATTGTCAAACATTGTCGTGAGGAATAATTTTCGTAAACAATAAGCTCAAATCACCAAACGGTGTATATAAATTTAGATTTTTTTTACACGCAGATGTAATTATTGTCTCCCTTATTAATTTAGATTTTACACGGAACGTGTGAACGTGTGACGAACATGTGAACTTATTTCACGTGCAAGTTTTCTTTTCACGTTTTCCGGATTAGAGAAGATGTTCTCGTCGACATGGAATATACGGAAGCATAATTAGCGGTGCTGTGATCACTGAAAATTATTACCATTACATATTTTACGCAATTATCGCACGTCGCTCATTGGAATAAATCCTCGGCCGACGGCAACATTCGGACGCACAATGGTGCGTCGATTGTTCGCGGATCTCTGTTATTCGAGATACAATTTCGGGCATTAATTGCCGGTCGGTCGAATCAGTCCGGTTATCCATTAGCTGTACATATAGCCGTACGTATACCGTAACATCGAGTATTCTGTTGTGCTAAAACACTATGATCGTACGCGGCATTGCTCAATTAACTTTCGGTTATTTGGCACGTTGTGCTTGAATCCAGCCGGGACCGGCGAATATGTCTCTCTCGTCGCCATCGACGATTTATCGATAGAGTCCACGTCCGACTTTTAAAACGGGGAACGAAACGGTACGGTATCTCGTGGGATATAATACGCCATTAATCTTCATAAAAGGCGGTAGGTCGGAATGTAAATTCCGTCTGATTTCTCCGACTTGTCTCGAACGTCAAAAAGTTTCCCTGATATTTTACTACGCGGCCCTCCCAATTTAACGGCGTTAAATTCCTCGGCGGACGGCGCAACTGTATTTATTCCTCTTTTTCTCTTCTCTCCTCTAAAAAAGTTACTATTTTTTTTTTAGAGTTTTCTGGGCAAGGGGGTGTAAGAATTATTATATCTCTACGCGTTGAAACTCACTACAGTTTCGGACGTTCGCGCGCGCGATGATTTTGCGAATATCATTACCGTCATTATTAAATCCGCCGTAACGGTCACGTGCGCGTATCGACTGTAAATTTAATTCTTTCCACTTGAACGCAATTATTTTGCCGCAGGCATTATAAACGTTCAAATTTGATATCAATAATTACGCGGCACATATTGTTATTATCTGCTAATGGGGACAAAATTCCACACTGGACCGTGACCGTGTGTTCTCCGCCGCAAACAAACAAATCTAACAAGAACATCCTGACTGATATAACAACCGATTTAAAGTCCTTTGTGGCCTTTGACATTCATTGTTGAAGAAATTATTAATGATCCTGGAAACACCGTGACTCTGTTGATCGCTCTTTTTGTTTCGACTCGAATTATCGATCACCGTCTAAATTAGCTCTGATTACGCGCCCAAAACCTGGTAATTATTTTTTTTGTGCGCTGTTAACGACCCCGTAATATCGTCGAAGACCGCGCTCTCGGCAGACAGCTCGGTAGGCCGTGCGCTATAAATCACCGAAGAAACGTTTTTACATGCTAAAATCACAGGTACAACGACTAATATACTTAGCGACCGATGAATCGCATCCTCAGCGATTTCGCAGCATCAATCACCCCTTGATACCTTGCCCAATCTTATCTCTCCGCCTCTTTCGGGAGATTGTCTTGCGGGAGCTTCGGTGTTCGTCGGAGAAAGGCGGATGATACGATCGCTCGATACACCCGCGACGTCCGCTTGATGATATTCCGACGAAACAATCTGGTAATGCCGATTTCACAGACGCAACATATTCCCCGGGGGAGTGCACGATCGCACGTTAGTCAGCGGCGTGCTCCTGCCTCCCTCGGTGTATCTCTGTCTGCGTGTTGACGCAATCGCCAAAACGTTGCTGGGTAAAACGTAAAATCTACGAGAGTCTACCAGTCGCTCGTGCGAAACTCACGTATGTAGAGTTGCGTTCGCAAATACCTCGAGCCGCACCGTTTGAAATCGCTCCCGGTTGCAAAAGGGAAGCGGCAACTCACCCCCGGCGTGACTTTTATCCAGCGGGCTTCGGTCCTCCTCGCTTCACGGTAGGGCTCGAGTTAAGCCGAACAGAAAAGCGACGGGCGAAACGCGAAACGGTGTTCGCATCGCGGCCCAATTAGTCCCCGAGTGGCGCGTGTTCGCGAGTAATATAAATATAAATCAGTGTTACATGAATTTTTGATCGCGTTGACCTTTGCTCTTCCTTTCTCCTCTTTTGGCATCTAGAGAGCCGTGAGTAAAAGAGTCATGTGTTTAAAAGCCGGAGCGAGAGTCGGAAGCTCGCCTATCTTTTTTCGCCAGCAAGCAATTCACCGCGGTATTTCAAGAGAGAAATTTCTTCATTACTCCTAGCATCGCGCGATATCGTGAGTGACATGTGTCGTTGGCGCTCCGACCTGGGGAAAAAATTAAAGGCGCTTAACCGTGCGTCCGTTTTTATTCCCAGGCACGAGCGTTAAACATTCCTCTCGGATTTCATCGGATTAATTATGAAGCGGTATGGCATTTCCCTTCCGGAAATAACTTCACATCGTTGTAACTTCCGCTCTTCTCCCGCTGTCCCCTCTCACAATCCTCTTTTTCGCGAGATGGTACCGCACTTGGAAGTTTATACGATAGCGCGGAAATGATTGCAGAGTCTCTCCGGCTCTGCCGGCGGCGCCGCGGTAATCGAAAAATTATATACACAACTCGAATTTTACCATCCGTCGCCGCGTCGTCGGCACGCTAAGTAAAACCGTGAGATTACGCGCTTCGGTATTCATGCACAGGTGCCAATACTCGTGACTGCATTCTTCGTCGCATCGGCAGCGCAGCCCGCAATATTTTCACAGAGCGCGGCGTGAAATGCGATTTCAGCCTGTTCGACGTTATAATCAATCTAATCGAATGTATAAGAATGTGACACGCGGGGGGATTTAATCCAGATTTAATCCAGATTTAATCCATTACCTTTCAATCGTTACTTTCGTGAGTCGTGACGGCATCGGCAAACTGTCGCAGGATAATAAATTGTGTGAGACTTATTCTGCGATTGCATTTTCTCGTAATGTTAACAGTCGCTTCTGCGACTGATATGAGAACGCGCCGTTTAACAGAGGCGATTAGCGCAATCGGGCTAATTTAGGCTTTTCAAGCCTCGTCCGATTCGGCTAGTCCCGAAGAGAGAACATGGTGGAAAAGAGAGCGTGGTCTTGCTTGGATTAATCTTGAAGCTACACCAATAATCGCCATCGCCATCCGGCAACTGCAAACGCCGAATCCGAATCTACGTTACAAGACACACGAGAATTAATTACTGCTCACGCCGGCGTTGACCGGCGTCGCCCGGATTAAAGCACGTAGAACGGCTCGTCCGTCGGCAACGCGACGGGATATTTGTTGGCCCGTTGAAAAGTTGCGCGCGTTACATTCGCCATTCGCTGGGACGCGCGGCTGCGGAAAGTCGCCTTTTGAAATCCGCCTGGACTCGCGCTTCGAGCTCATTTCAAATTCGACGCTCCGGCCATTCTTTTCCCGCCGTTTCCCGCGAGCGATGACGGATCGGCGAACGGTCGGTACAGTGCGGTACGATACGGTCGTACCGGTATCAGCGACGCGCACGCGACGGACCTTCGCCGCTGACTGAAGCCGAGCTGGCTGCGGACTAGTCCGGGATGCCGCACACCTCGCAACACCGAGTCCGCGGCCAATCGTGAACGAGCCGCCACGTCTTCGTGTTCCTCGTCCTCGACCCTCGTGCACGCATCAATTCTTACGCAATATCGCGGTATGAATTTTCCTCACTCATCCCCCCCCCTCCCCCGTCCTCCTATCCTCCCGCCCGCCCCGCGATCGACCCCGCCCGACGTCGACGTATTAACCCTCGAGCGACACACACACACACACATACATATATATTTTGTCCGATTACACCCGAGATAAAGCGCGAAATACATCGCTCAGGGCGCTGGTCGGCGGGAGGGCGCGCTCCTTCCCTCCCTTCCTCTTTCTCCGTCCTTCTACTCCGGCTCTATTCTTTTTTCGCGCAATTTCGCCCGAACGGCTGGTCGGTCCGGCCGCGAGTCGTCGGATTATCCTGCGGACACTTACGGCCACGTCTCCGCATCCTCGCGATGGCTATATTCTACGGGGTGTTACTGGGGTGGAGCGAAAAGGGGCGAAAGCGCGAGCGTGTGATGGGCGAGCGTGATCGCGAGGCCGTCCTCGGCCAGATCGATGAGTAATTATGCGGGTTTATCAGGTACGAATACACCTGCGACACGGAATCTCGCCATTTTTTCCCCTGCAGCCGCTTTTTGTTCGCCCGCAGAGGGGTGGCAGGGGGGCGCAAGGACGCGCGTGTCATCGCTGATACTTGGGCGCATTTTATCAGCGTTTCCCGATCCGCTGCACTTCGATGGCGTGACAGAGCGAGAGAGCGTTTAGTGGAAACGAGTAGCTCATCGGCGTCGCTCGACATATTATATCGCGCAATGAATGGCATTCCGAACACGTTGGTCGCGTGCCTTCTACGTGTTAAGAGGTTTGTCTGTTTACAGTACGGCGCACAGTGGGGCCAGATGACATTCTTTGTTTGAAAATCCTCTAGAGACCTGAATTTCCAACCGATCATCGACACCAATGGACGAGGTTGATCCTGAATAAATTCCGAAGAGGTCTGTCTTGCCAAAATTTAAAAAGAAATTTTTTTCTCGAATCACTAGCTCCGAAAGAGGAAAAATGATCGTTAAACGCGAGAAACTTGTGAAGTACTCATTATCCGATACTTGTTTCTATCTAATAGCGTATTCAGCGGATTGAAACTATGAGACCAATCAACAGACACCTCGAGATTTAATCGATCTTGTAGCAGAAACCCATTAACCCAAAACTCATATGCCCAAAATACAAAAACATCGAATATAGAGCCGTTAAGCACAAAACCGAGGGATTTTAATCCTTAATTCTTTCTTAATGGGCTGAAATGATGAGCTTGGAAATTCTGAGTTTTTTAAAAGGTGATTGTAAGTTCTGGGGTCTCGCGATTTAGCATCCATAGGCTCGAACCCATCGAGCTCGAACCCAAGACACTGTACTTTAAACGATAAACTTTTAAGACAAACCCTAAACCCATGAACCCTGAACCGGTAATTTGTCCAAAATTTCGGCTAGACTGATCTCTTTGGAATTTATTCAGGATCAACCTCATCCATTGGTGTCGATGATCGGTTGGAAATTCAGGTCTCTAGAGAATTTTCAACCAAAAAGTGTCATCTGGCCGCACTGTGCAGCGGCTGGCAGGGAGGCGACGACGCGCGCGTTATTGCCGATACGCTTGGGCGCATTTTATCAGCGCTTCCATATCCGGTGCGCTTCGATGGCGCGCGCGCGAGAGAGAGAGAGAGAGAGAGAGAGAGAGAGAGAGAGAGAGAGCGAGCGAGAGAACGAGACAAAGGGAGACAAGTAGCTCACTAACATCCGCTCGACAATGTAACCCGCACTGAACGGCATCCCGGAGATGTCTGGTCGCGGGCTTCCTGCGCGTAAAGCGGCGCCGGCGCTTGGGGGTTGCATTGCAAGATAAACGCGTAATGTCCAGGCTCGATGCACCATAAAATCGGCCGATAACGCCCGTTTCTACAAATTTCGGAGAATAAAGTCAACGAGCACCGCGCGGCAAGTCCTTTCATCTCTGACTGCTGCTTCGCCCCTGAGAAAATGAGTCAAGCGGCCGCGAGCGGTCCACCGGGGTTGTGCTCGACATTACAGTGCACATTGAGTGGCATTCCCGAGGTGTCTTTCCATGTGCGAAGCGCGGAGGAGCCATCTTAGAAAGCAAACCGTGTTCAGACCGGATGTAAAGTCGAGCAATCTCCGATCGTAAACGTGTTCGTTTATACGTACGAATCTCTGGGACTAACATCCGGCGAACATCTCGTCGTAAGTTTCGTCTCTGATTGCCGATTTGGCTTGTAAATGTGTCTCGTTGCATGCGCATCGAGCGACGACACAACGCAATCCTATATATACTTTGCAAACTTCGGCTGTACTTGAGATAAGTACATTGTAAGTTCCGAGCTTAAGTTTGATGCACGTGTGCCGCGTCGTCGCGAATTCAAACAATCACGCCGAGATAGACGTCGCGGGACATTACATTGCTCCGAGCGTTTACATCTTCCCCCCCCCCCCACCCCTCCCACTCTTTCTTTCTTTCTCTGTGTGTTTTCGTAGCAGCGTGCATAATTTGATGAACATGTCGCGGTTACATTTCACTTCGCGGAGAAGTTCCCCGTGCAGATTATCCGCCGCCTCGATCCTCAATCCCGCTGCGTTTCATCGAAAAGCATCGCGTCGCGTTATTCTTGTTATTCTCTTGTTAACATCTGCTCCATCAGGGACATTCAATCAGCCCGCGTGACTCCGAGTAATGCGCGCGCGGAATGAATTATCAGACGGAACCTATTTTAAATTCCGAATAAATATACGGCCACGAAAATTGCGCGCAAAATTGCTCCGGCGTCAAAGAATGCCTATATTAAATATTCCGCCCCGGCCGCGCCGCTGCGACCGAATAGTCAGCGGTACACGAAATTTATGCAAATTCCGTCGAAACATTCAAACAGTGCCGCTGATGATTCACGGCGTATTTCCCGCTGCCTGTCACCTGAAAAACTTTTCCCGGCCCATCTGCGGCGCGAGGCGCGAGCCCAGGTGGGAGCCGCGTGCAATTTTCTTAGGTTACTCCGTCGCAAATTCCGCGCCGTGCGCGAGCAAGCTTCCGAACGATGCGGCTGCAAAATTATGCGAATACGACCGCATCGGCTGCATTTCAACCTCAAAGGGAAGAAGGGAAGAGGAAGAAACAGCGGGAGGAAGCAAGCGCTTTGTTTTTGTCCGGCGACGCGCCGATAAACCGCGACGTGGAAATTGGAATACTTATTTCCCCAGCGGAATTTACTACCGTCACAAATATTTGAGAAAACACGCTGTGCGCACACATCGATCCGTCATCGCGACCGCCGCATATTTCCGCTTTTTCCTCCTCCCGTGTCACCCAGTCTCACCAGTTTACACGACGTACGCACGAAATCACACAGGAAATCGAAACGCGGCTATCAGGTGGGGTGTGTCGTGCGTCCAACGAATAACGACGGATCCCTTTTACGGTCTTCTCTTTTATATCACTAGACACGAGGCTCAGGTGGACTATCTTGTACCCTCTTATTCTCTGCATTCTTATTTCTCGCGTCTCTGAACGAGGCAATCGCTCACAGTCCATTAAAACTTGCCCATCTAATCCGTACGAACGTCCATACTTGGGTGTGTTTACGCACACAGGAGGGTGCGACTCGAAAAAACGAGGAGGAGAAGCTATTATTTACGGAATACACGGCGGACGCGCGATCGAAAGATCGTAAGGATGCTGTTGACTGGGCGTGCTATTTAATCGGTCAGATCCGCTTACGCACGCGCGCATCCGCTCAATTATTCAGAGTTCGCGCGAAGATTAATTAACCTCGGATGTGCGCCTATGGTTGCGCCCGAGGAAGCTCGCTGACGCGAGACCGCAGGCTTCCTCATCTGTAACGTGTATTATCCACTTTTGCGCAGCACGCGAATCAACCGTCGCGCATCCCCATAAATTATACCGCTACTACGTTGCTACGTCACAGAGTTGATATTATGATACGAAGTGTCACATATTATGATGTCGGGCGTCATGCATCACGCGCCGTCTCAGCTAGGAAGAGGGCTATACGGGGGAGGAGGGGAGGCAGAGAGAGAATGCTGGAAGTTTCGGAATGATGGAACAGGTTTACAACCGAGTGTTTTATTCATGCTTCCTTCGCGGATTTATCATGCCTGTATCTGCTTGTGTCTGCGCTATTACAGCGTTCAACGGAGTTCACGCCGTGAAAACCGGACGGTCACTTTAAGGCAGAGGGGGTGGCGCTTCAGGCGCGGTCGAATTTTACTCCCCTGCGCGCGGCTGTTATTTATCGTAAGCGTCATCATTACCCACGTAATGGTATTGACGTGTGTTCGCGGAAAATTAATCGCTTTTCATTACATAAAAAGGTTGGAGGTCGATTCGTCTTATAAGCGTTTCATTTATCTAGTCGTCGAATCGAACGAACCGGGAGCGAGAAAGGGAGAAAGAGAAAGAGAGAGAGAAAGTGAGACTGACCGATAAAGGGCCGGACGGGTCTCTCTCTCTCTCTCTCTCTCTCTCTCTCTCTCTCTCTCTCTCTATGAAATAATTTATGAGCGTCCGAAAATTCGTTCATTCAGAATCGCAAACTCGACGAATTACATCGGGCGTTCACCGACGATAGCTCGGTGTCGCGCCAGCAAGAAAGAGAGCGGGAGAGAGAGAGAGAGAGAGAGAGAGAGAGGGAGAGAGACAGAGTTACTTTACGATCCAATTAATCACCCCCGGGTTAATTTTACCTGAGGGGACGCCTAGGGTCTCCCCTTAAATGAAACTCTGGATTTTTTTCGGACAGCTCGGTTATGATTCTCAGGAGCAAATACCGTATACGCGTGCGTGAATGTAAAGGCGGGAGGCCGCTTGTTTCGCGCGAAATTTCCTCCGGTTGCGAGAGAGAGAAAGAGAGAGAGAGAGATGTCAATTCTCAAGAGACGGTGAGAAATATTCCTCATTCCTCGCGGGAAGAGAAAAGTATTCTTTTATTAAATCGCGATCCATCTCGACGCGAATTAAAATCGTATGAATACTCGCGTCCGTGCGCAAACCATTTGTTCAGCAACAAAATAACGGAGCAACCGCGATGCAGAGGGAACGCATTCAGCGAAGCTTTTTATCGCGAGAAACGCGAAGTTGCGATTCGATGCTCGATGAAGGACTCACCCGAGTCGAAATTTTTCTTCTACATTAACCTTGCAAATTCTTGCGAACTTGAAGAACCGATGAGAAATATCGAGATAAACAGTATATAGGCTATTGACTTGCCTCGATGCTGCAAATGCCACTTTCTTCATGTTGAAGTTTGAAGAACCTGTTCCAGAATTATTTAATAATCGACTCCAGAACGACTTCAATATTTTATCTCTACTTATTTACCATTTATTTCTAATTTTAGTCAGTACTATATTAATTATATAACTTAGCTGCAAGTAAAATATGTGATGTAAATGAATGTTATTATACATAATTTAATAAAAATTAATGGGGATGAAAGGGGTAAAAGAATCCATGAATGTTTATTCTGCTTTTTTACTTTCTTTCGGCATCGGTATAATACCGATAATATTAGAAACTCTTAAAAAAGCTGATAAGGAAAAAGTTGTAAGGGCAAAGGTAACAGTCGTGTGTCCAATAATGCTGTGTCACACAGATGTAAATCCGGTATTAGAATTATAATCAACATAGGCATTAATAAATCAAGACTTATGGCCTTTGTTAGACACAAAAATCAGCACCTGTGAGACTTACGCTGAATTTCATAAGGCCGCTATTTATAGTTGCAATTTTTTCTTTCATTATTTGACCACATTGATCAGTGTAGTTATTTGGTGTAATTATTACTTAAATTAACTAATTATTGGAATTATTAATTAAAGCGTAGTGAATTACACATTAATTACAAATTCGTATTTCTGGACAATCAATTAGCCGTCTCGGTCAATGTGTCTCGTGTGAAATAAATATAGATTGATAAATAACCAGAGAGAGAGAGAGAGAGAGAGAGAGAGAGAGAGAGAGAGAGAGATAAGATGTGTGTAAAACTAAAATTATTCTTTCATTATTAATTTTTTTTTAAATTATTTACGAAATAACAATGGACCGTGAATATTAGACTAAATTTTAACTCTGGTATCTCCTTATGCTCAGTAAGTTCGTTCAACGTTCGTCAAGATAGGGAACACGCTGCATAATCAATAATTTAATGTATCTGGACATGTACGACTTATCGAGGTTCACGTCTCCTCCGTCCTTCGTCCTGGCTTTCAAATTGATACCGACATTGACAGTGACATTCGTGCAGATACGATTGAAGTGAACGCGGTGAACGCGGTGCCGACGCGATAGCTCGACTTCAATATTCCGAGAGACGACGAAATATTTTAATCACTCGACGGGAATGATAAATAATGCGCCGACACGCGTACTCCGCGTCGCGGTATGTGCGCCGCTCGTCGGCTCGAAATGTAATGACTCAGTCATGAGAAGGTAGGCGACGCACGAGAATATTAAAACAAACGGTAAAAAGAGTAAAAATATTCCTCACCATTCGTCAACCGTCGTCGTTCGCCAATCGATTACGGTGAGGACTGAAAGATTACAGCAATCAACGCTCTCGAAAAATGTCGCAAGTCCTGTTTCAAGGATATATTAACGCCGTCTATTGACGTCTCTTTTTGCTATTGCGACGAGCCCAAAAGTAAGTCTCTATCTCCGGCCCTTTTGAATCCGCAAATCTTAAAAAGATTTTTCAACGTCAACCAGTGATGATAAACGAAATGATTATGAAAGAGAGAAACATTTCTTTCAAACAGCTCTTCTCTTCTTTCTCTTATTCATTTTATTGCGTTATTTATTCGATATGGATTGATAAATTAATTAGTATTAATAACAAATTTCTACTGTATTTTCTCGCACTTGTTCTACCTGCAGTCGAATAAATTACACGATTGACACAGCATTTAGGAGACTAGAAAAAAGATTTAACGCAAGTAGATAATACCGAAACGATAAAATTTTCAAGAATGACGAGATGAGTGCTTTTTTAAGCTGCAACATGGAAAAGCGACATTAAGTAACTATCCACAGCATAAAAAGATAACAATAGCCTGCGTAGTGTTACGTCTCGTGATTCTCCGTTGATATATCAAGCTCGGCACAATTGACGGAGTTAATTTAGAACTAAAATTTCGACCCGGGCACCTTCGGAACTATTCACCCTCTCAACGCGGTATTACCGAAAATCTGGTCCCCGGGGATGTCACGAGATATCGTTACGGCGACTCGTAAACTGGATCTGTCATCTGATAGTTGTAATAGCATCTGCATATTGCCTGTGTTCCTCCATCTGATTGAAATTCGATAAGTTATCCGCGTCGATTCGCAAAAAAGTCAAGGCCGAAAATGTCCGCTCGAGCCCCATGACGGGACGCTTTTTCATGGAAATGAGACATTTTCGCCGTCCGAGAGCCGCGTGTCTTCGCGTCGGGACAAAGAATCGCGACGATCGATACCGCTGTCCGCGATTGTTACGCAGTTCGCGTCAACGAAAGCGCCGCTAACATCAGAGCGAGACCCGTTGCCATGTGCGAGTTGATTCACGCGTCGCGTTCATTCGGCATTCACGCAAAAAACCAAGGATTACGCTAGAGGCGGCTGAAAATTCCTGCCGGGACTCGCGATGCAGATGAATGAGTCAGATGCGAGAGCTTTCAGGAGCGATCATTCGCAGAACCAAGTTAGTTATGCGCTTCGCTCGACCGTGTGCTCCGGCCATGTCGCGAATCGCCGATTCGCCGACGGTTGTATCAGTTTCGGGGAAAATTTCCCACAGACCACTCGTCGCCAAATCTTTTCTTCCTTTTACGTAAATGTACAGAACAGACTTGGTTTGACGATGTGGACGTAGAAGAAGAAAATGTCCGTTGTCGCACATGCGACGCTGGTCTCTCTCGTGGGAGATCGTTGAGCTTCGCTTGTGTGACACGGAGTAAACGCGTTAAGAGCAAACGCCGGGGTGCCTGGGAGTGGCGAGAGAAATAATCATCGAAATAAATATCCTAGATTGTTGCTGGCAATATTCGCCACCAAGTGGACGACAGAATGACGGCAAGACGGGAAGTGCCCGACGGCTTTAGGCCTAGCGCATCGCAGAGTGAGTCTGCTTTCAATTGCTTTCGGCGCAACGTTTGTTTGCTCATCCGTTCGCCAGATCAAAGCGACGCCCTGGGACTATGGCACTTTTGTAATAATCGACTGTTCCGCTATTCTCCTCTTGCCGTTTGGCAACGATAAAAGATACAGTGAAGCTTTTTGAGAAAAGAGCGAGGCGATAAGAGGAGGAATGAGATTCCCCTTAAAATTTCCGTGTTCGTCGTCAAAGTTGCGAAACTCCGGCAGAGTTATTCCGTGATTTATCTCGCCGCAACATCTGCGCGCCTCCGCCGTGGAAAAAAAAAAAAAAAAAAAAAGAAAAAAGAAACAATGTGTCTGTCCGTGACCGTGCGAGTGCAATTTCACGGGCTTACAGTTCGGGCTCGATAACAAACGAGATTACTTTCGTTTGATCTCTCGTCCCGCCGTCGTCGTTTTATTTAACGCGCGGCTTTCCATCCGAAAATCGCGTTTCAATCGCAAAAATTATTCGCGCGCGTCTGCCGTCGTGAACATCGTGTCACAGACAGAACCGATGTTGCCGGTCAATTTGCAGCCAATCGCGAGATATGAGGGAAGAGCAGTTTATTTGCAGAGACGACTATTAAAAAACGACCCCGGAAACGCGTCTCGTCGTTCTCGCGTATCGAATTAACGTTACACCCCCCGTACACCCCGCGTATGTACCGAACTCGTCGACGGGTATTGGCGATACACGCTGACCAGCCCCCCTCCCTGACAGGACAACACCAGGACATAGTCCTGGTGCCTCTGCACAAAAATCGCCTAAATCCATAAAAAATCACCTCAAGTGTTAAGCAACAGACGGAAGAGTTGTTACAACTTACCTCGAGCGATTCAACAAATTTCGATCGATCAATTTTCCGACAGCGTACGTCCAACGGAGACGCACGGCGTTATTCAAGCGTATAAAGCGAATGCGTCGCCGTTAAGGTTAATGCCTGTGTTCAGCGAAAGCGCTTAATGACTATTATCCGTGTTATCGGAGTGGACTTTCGGACGGGTCCAGGAAAATATACCGATGAGGAGCAACAGTCACTAAGCGCTCACTTCTGCCGGCTGGAGCGTAGCAAACGCAACGTGTTACTCCACTCGGTGACTTCTCACGGCACCTACGCGCGAACTACCTAACAGTCGCCATGTACAATAGCCGCCGAAGCAACACCTGTCATCCCCGAGACGACGACGGATTCCGCCGCCGGTGCTCAGCGAGCAGTCCCGTCCGGATCAGGGGGATCACCGAAATTAACCCACACGATGTCGAGGACCGAAGCCGTTAGGCAGGACGTCAGGAGGCTGAAGAGTGTCACATTAGGCAGAATGGGGAGGATATTTAAGACGCGCACGCCCGTCGTGGGAGAATCCGTCTTGGACGCCGTAAGTGATTCGGATATTCGAGGCGTCATGTTTCGCAAATGTAAAGGGCTTCTGGGGGCGCGCGGGCTTCGGCAAAACCTCATGATATATGAAGGAAGTTCGAATCCTGAGAGTGTCGGGAACGAATCGTAACGTATTGTGCGTGTCGATACGTACAGCGAAAGATCACCGAAAGATCTCGGCGAAAGTCATTGTTATTCTTCAAAACGCGCAGAGAAAGAGAGTTTTGCTAGCGCTCTCGCGTTAAATCTCGTTGCAAAATATGGTCACGATTATAATCCCTTCATCGCGTGATTATAATGATCGGTGTATGGACCGTTGTAAGTACCAAAAATCTTTGCCTGACAATCGGTGCGTCTTGCTGCTCGTGCACGTCGAATTTCCTCCGTTGCCTCTGCTTCGTTGGTCCGTGAAATCGATCGATCGGTAACTCGTACGGCCGTCGAAGCACGCGTCGCTCGCTGCAATTGTGAAATTTAATGCACGATTGACTTTGGAGACTTTGGAGCACATCGCGCTAATGTGACGAAAGGCGAGGGGGACAGAAGTTTTAACGACTTACGCATTTAACGCTCCCGGCTCTTTTATTCAGAATGTGACAAGCGTCGATAATTATGACGAAGAGCCATCAAGGAAAGAAAAGACAAACTCTTTAGGAAGGATACTTAAGCTCGTCGACAAAGACGGCTCGCCCAAGAAACTTTTTGTTCGTCCTCGGGCAGGATCGCTGAGTCGTATACTACGTAGGCATCCTCATAATGAGGACAATGGGGTTATCGATAAGTCCGCAGAGGACACCGCGCGTGGAATTCTCTCCAGAATGCTCGGCCAACTGAGAGGAAAGTAAAGATTCAAAGAAACTCTTGTCGTGTGACTCTTTATCGAGGCATCTCGCTTAAAGCAATGAGATTCCTCGAATGATATTTTCTTTTAAAGTATGCGAAGTATCTTCCATCACCGGCAAAATATCATTGAGATATTTTACAATGTCGTTATCGTTCCTTGATATTACAAAGATGCTAGGGAAACTACGAAATTGGGATAAGCGAGTTAACCGTTTATCTCAAATACGATGTGTTCGATGGTGTTCGTTGCTTCAAGCAAAACGACCGGATAATTTGTTTCGACTGCAGGTCGGTCCGTGAGCAGAACTACCGCTACTAAGGCGAGCACACATAAACGGGACAAGCACAATTCTGCGTTACCGCCAAGAGTGCCGTTCAGCTCGATGGCAACTAACGATCCGCCGGAATTGCCTGCGTCTGAAAAATTGGCGGACAAAACACCAGATCTGGAGTATTCCTATTGACTCTTTGCAACTCCATTGTTATCGAAATTTAGAGAAAGAACTCTTTTTGACCTAAGTCTAAATCATAGAAATCATGCATATCGATCGGAGCGGTCAGCCATAACGAAGACCGGCGAAAAATTACATGTGCCTTATTAATAAAATATTTGCTGCTCCACCTCCTTGATGTTTCGTCGATTTATTGAGTGCGTTCCGTCGTCGGGAGTGTGAAGGAGATCGGAATGAAGAGAAAACGGTTACTGGAAGAGTCACGTTTATTATACAAGCGTGCCTCTCTCTCTCTCTCTCTTTCTCTCTCTCTCTCTCTCTCTCTCTCTTTCTCTGTCTCTCTGTTTCCTCGTCATATCTGTATATGATATTACGGAGCAACCCGTGCCCCTTCATGCTTCTTTTCACGCTGTACAAATGTTCATTCTGTACTAATATACGTATTACGACATTGTGTGACAGAAATGATCGAACGAGTTTGCGAATCGTATCCAACGAGTATAGAATGAGATTCTTGATTCGTAAAACCGTCCTCTCGTATCGGACTGTTCTCGCAGCCGGTATATAAAATGTATTTACAAAAGAGTTTTAACTTATACATATGTATGTATATGTATATACATGTATATATATGTATATATATATATATATATATATATACACAGACATATATATATATATACACGCAGAGCGCGTGCACTTGTATTCGTGAACGTGGATTCTTTGTGAGAAACAGCGGCGGGATTCGACGGAAGCAGCAATTTCCTGCCTCTCGCTTTTACTTTCAGATATTCGATTTGAATTTCACAAGTCGCGCATGAGTAAGTCAATCTTGCCGGCGCCACGGCAAGTGGCTTCCCGCCGTTTGTGAGCGTCTCGCAATCGATACACCGACAACCGAACAAAACCTGCCGTTTCGCCGTTGCTCTTCGCAAAGAATCGCTCCTGAGGGCGAAGGTTTACGGAATAACCCCGACATAAAACCTTAAAATGTAAAATTATGTACAATATCGCATTGCAGATGCACGCTCCGACGCGTAATACGTTTCAACTGCAATCTCATCCTGCAATTTCCGGATCTCGAAGTTCGTTTCAAACGGCGGCGACTGATTCGCACGAATCACAAATTAACGCAGGCGACAGCGATAAACAGCAATTTTGTCGTCAATCCGTTCTGGAAGACTTGCTGCGCTTGTGCCTGACCGGTCCTTTGTTCCTCGTCCTTGATCGACGATCGTGATTTATCACAGAATAAAGTAATACAAAACAATCCAAACGCCAAGTTCGCGAATTAGAATTTAATCCACGTACTTTCCGTCCTCGATGTAACTTTGTTACATAAATTAAAGTCTAACGAACTATATCGCCCTCTCTCTCTCTCTCTCTCTCTCTCTTACTTTAACAATATAAAATAACAGCGATCATGATTGCACGAAAAGCTACTTGGTTTTCTGAAAGTTGGAGTAGACGTACAGCTTTCTCTGCATTATCTAAATGTAGGACAGAGAGTTATATTTTTCGTTTATAGTAAATCATCTATCTCCACTTTTAGAAGAAAACACACAAGTGTGTTCTTAAGCTACTGACGATGCAACCGACGCGTCCGACGAGGACGACGGTATTGTTCCAAAAGATTTTTAGTTCTACTAATAGTGTAGATGACAATTTTCGACATTAGCGACAATATCGCAAACGATAGTCACAATTACAATTAAAAAAGATAATTGAGATAACGATAATAAAATAGATAATATTTAAGCTTGACTCTTAATGTATAAGATTCTCTAATGATGTATATGTGTGCAATGTTTCATTCAACCAAGTATCGCAACGCTATGTTATGCAGCGTTGAGGAATTGTACAAGATATTATTAGATTGTTCGCGTGCGCGTACGACACTTATATCGATATATATATATATCTCATAACGACGATGTTATGTTTCAATTAAATAAAGTACAACCTCATATATTCGGTATACATGTGTCTTAAAATAAATATATAAAAAAGGAAAAGTTGCGACAGATTGACATGTAAATTTGTATCTCGCGAAGAGATAATATTTATACCGCATAATCGCTTTTGCAGCACAAAAGTACGACGGTGAAATTTGTCGAATTGGTGAAAGTTTGTCTGAGTATTAAGAGGAATCATCGATCGTCGAATTATTTCAACAATAGCGCATTTAGGTACGTGCTAAAGTAAACAGTATAATGCGAAATTGTGAGATTGAAGTCACAAATATTAAATTAAGAGTTTGATGAAAATTCAATATCGTCCGCCAAACTAAAGTATTATCTAGGCAAAGAACAAAAATGAATTATTTACGCTGCACGATGTGGTCGACTTAAATGCTTGAGTGGCAAAAATACAACGTCGATGAACACGATTCCTTTTTCCTTTTAATTATATCCCTTTGGAAAATCCAACGGGGGAAATTCAATTAATTCTAATTGCAAAAGTTTATCTACAGCATGTAACCAACACTTACATTCTCTACGACGCGCTGAGTATAAAATTAAGTACATTTACTTGTATATCACCGCGAGAAAAACACGCTGAATACTGTAAGTGACAATCCAATTCCTTAATTTGACTTGCAGATGGCTGCTATCAAGAAGAAACTTCAAGTTGCAAAGTCAAGAGCGAGTTTTTCTAGGTGAAATCATCCGAAACTGAGAATCATCATCCGAACGGCTGTTTACATCTACTACACAGTGTGCATGTGCGTGTGTGTGTGTGTGGGTGTGTAAAGGGACTCTGTTTCTTCATTTCTGCAAATAAGTGATGACGTATTGTTTCTCTACGAGAACCATGTGATAATGTATGTAATAATGATGAAAGGGGCTGGCATATCGCTTCGTGACGGCTCGGATCGATGATCGATCAGCTGCATACACGCACGCACGCACACACCTATACGCATACGCACATATACACACGTACTCTGTGACCTCTTTGAAAAGTGATATGGCTCCTACGAAAATGCGAGTTTCTTGTTCCCACTGACATTGTTTCGCCCATCTCAGAAAGAAGGATCGATTAAAAGCTCCGTACAACCACACCCGCTCATCTCTCCGATTTTCATTCTAGGTAATTCGTTTACAACGTGTTAATGTTATTTACTTATTAAATCATCATCTAGCGCGTCTAATACACGGCTCTTGGACGGACGGTTTGCCACTCCTCCGAACAATAACTCAACCTACGCGATCACCGGGGGAAGGGGAGGGGAGGGGAGGGGGGATCTCTGTGCCTCACTTTCGCAACGAATCATTCTTAAGTATCACCCAATAGGAGTGCGTGAATTTTGAAAAGAAGAAAGAAAAGAAAGCAACAATTAGGCAACAAGTAGGACAGCTCCTTCCTTTCTATCTGCAGCGAAACGCGGAATATGACAACAAAGTATTATTGGTGGTAATCTCAGTGAAGTATCGGCATCAGAAGGAATCAAGACAGCGTCTAGACAGCGTCTTTTGTGGTACATCCGGGTTTTTTTGAGTTCCATTTCTAAATGACGTTTCCATCAAAGACATTCGCGACAGACTCATTGCGGATGCGATGTGGTCCGAGGCCCCATCGCGACACAACCAGTGGAATATGCGACCTTGCACTTGTCACGATACACGAGACTTATATCTATCAACATTACGCGCTTTATCAGCTTCCCCGGAAACTGCTACCTAGTAGATAGATACATATATGTATGTATGTATAGGTATAGATATGTATACATGAGTCACACACTAATACACCGCACGATGCGAAGTATCGCGCACGTCATTTGATTCGTAAACCCATACTTGGCAGCATATTCAATTTGACATCGTCCTCTCTCGAGTTATCGTCTGCTATGGAGAGTTCCACTTTTTCGATATTTCCGATATAACTATCACGGCCGTGAAACGCTAGGCTATACATACATGTATTACGAATTGAACACGTTTCTCTTCGATATGTAGACAATAAAAGAATAAAAATATATGTATATATATATGCGCTCGCTCGTTGCTCCATATGCGAAACGTTGTATTCTTCTTCCGACCTCCAAGCCGCCGATTTCTCCGATTGGTTTTCGCTTCGCGGCACGCGATCTTACTAATCCCCAAATTATTATATCACCTGTTACCATCGTCCATGCTCCTCCCTTCATCCCACAATTGAATCGCTATTTTTCTGGCTAGTGTTTTCCTTCCAAGGAAACTTGAACAATCCAGAAGATTCAAGCACCTTTGGGAAAGGTGAGATCCATCGTCGTCTGCCATCGTCATCATTCATTATTCCTAACCAGCGTTCGAACCATCACATCCCTGACTCGGCTATGCCCTCGTCATCTGCAAGACAACAGGTTGAATCAGAGGCGATTCGTCAAGATTAAATTGTCCCATTTGTTTGTCTTGCACATTGCAATCATGCTCGATGCAAGCTACGCGCATTGCAAGTTTTGCAGTTGCTAATAAATTGATATTATTTAAAAAAGCCGTTTTTTTTCTCTCTGTACTCCATATCTCTTCGACGAAGAGGGTTTGTGTGTTTCACGCACAGCGTAATATTAATTAAAAAGAAAAGATAGCACAGCTGTGTGTATGTGAATAGATTACGGTGTAAAAATTCGAGTTTCATAAAAGTAAAATATCAAACAAAATTAATTGTATCAAGCAAAATCATACAACAATTCGTTGCAGACGGATTTATTTGGTGATTGATCGATGGAATCTTGGCCGATGCAGTTATTCCTTCCGAAAATTCGTGTGAAAATTATGAAGTAATTAAGCCGATATGTATACATAGACAAGCATTTCTATCGGTGACGCAAGATCATGGATGTTTATTAAAGTCGCGCACACATTGCACAAGTCCTCACACATGCGTGACATACACGATTAATGTACAAATTTGTCATGTAATTTCTGTGTGTGACGTTCATTCTCATGCAAGGAAAAAGAAAAGCGACACCATCGAAATTACCGTCGATGCAGGAATCGCTGTTTGAGGGTCACCTTTCCTTCTCATCCTCGGCGGGACTCTTAGTGTTTTCGACCGAGCTTCGATTCTTGCCTGGATACAAAGGTCGCAAAAGATTGCAGAGAGGAAGGTGTGAGTTGCCGGGTGAGAAGGTGATTGCCGTTTTTTACAAAGAGGGACAACCATCGTTATCAAACGTGAAACAAAGTAACGTGTGCTTCTAACAACTGCCCACAACCATACCTCGTCACCATAACCAGTCGTGTGAATTGCTTCTTTACTATGTTACATTGTTTCTTGACATTTTTCAAAAAAAAAAAAAGAAAAAAAAAACATCATTGTTGCTTCATCAATACCGACTTCAGATAACCTCTGTGAGACATTTGATCCGTCTTTGTGCGAGAAAAATCTCTCATAGAGGAAACATATTAAGCACTTATAGATTCTCCTTGATCTTGACTCCTGCCGGGTGACACATGCACTACCATCGACTCTTTTCAACTTTTCAATTCTTCAACAACTAATGTTCCGATTACCAATTGCGGGATTGCGCTGTGATTGTCTAAGTCACACTTCGTGTCACTGATCAACCAATTCGTCCTTCAACCGTCCGAATTAGCTCAGATATTTTACAATATCTTGTAAAAAGTCTGAACGTACCTTCAAATCCTTGATTGTCATGTATCTCTCGCGGTGGTCCAGTGGTATCTTGTCCCTCCAAGACTGCCAAGAGGCATTGATGGATGCAAATGTACTGCTGCTCCGTCTGGACCATCCAGACTCGCTCCTTTCTCATCGCCCAGACGATCCCGAAGATGTCGACATACTTCGATACCAATATCTGCTGTAATATTCTGTCGAGAGTGATGAAGGTGCCGCTACGGCCAACACCGGCGCTGCAATGGACAACTATGGGCCTCTGATCAGGCCTGACTCGTTCCCTGAACGCTCGCACGAACCTAGCTAACGTTTGAGGTGGACTAGGAACGCCAAAGTCCGGCCAGGTGGTAAAATGGAAATGCTGTATCACTCTTTTTACGTCGCCCTATAACAAAGGAAACACATCAAATCTCAATAAAGAAGCCAGAAGACGCGCAAACACTAAAGTATATTCCGACAAAACTGTTCCGCCAGACAATGTCAACTCATACTGGGTATTACGGAAAGATCATACAGCCACTTACTCTGCACAGCATGAATTCCGTGATACTCCAATCCGGATAGTGCGTCTCATTGAGTATCGTGACGCAGATATCCCCATAATAAACGGGTAAAGTGTCCATCGGCCAGTAATGGTCACACTTTTCTCTTCCCTTCTCGATACACCTCGTCAGCATCACGATCGCTCTGCTGTTGCTCTCCCACACCATCCGCCAAAAGTCGTCTCGAGTCGAATGCAGCGGGCCTTGAGTCACGATGAACTCCCGTGGCGAATTGTGACCCTGCGATGTCGTCGAAATATGTCGGATACGATTACGATATTTCTTCATTATTGGATCACCGTATTTGACTGCTCGTATATATCTGTGGGAGGCAACATCTACGTACCGGAACGTAATTGGCGTTGATGTAGTCGGAGCCTTCTTCATCATCGACTGGTTGGAGCTTGAATCTACTGTGATCGTATGGAAGAATATTGGTGAAGCGATTTTTCGGTCGGTTGCAGGGCAAATCCGCCGCGGTACACGGCTGGTCCCTCCCGACGTGCTTCAGCTCCTCGAATTCTTCCGAAAACCGGAAGTCAGAGTCCGCCGACATAGTGCGATAGTGTTCAGCAAAGTCCTCGACCTTGATAGGCCGACTGAGACATGACAATAATCATTACATTTGCTTATTAGTGTCGCTTAGTCAATTTTGAGAAGAAGATTGTTTGACGCAGAAAATTGTTTCTGACAACACTGTTAATTCGATCTGATCTGAAGAAATGCATGCTAAACATTGTGACTTCTGGATCACCTGGTCTCGATGACGCTGTCTGGCAACGACAGGTTATCCGTAGCTCTGGTTTCTGTCGTCTTACGACCTTGGCTTCTTCTTCTACGCACAAACAGCCCGATGCCCAACAGGCCCAGGAGCACCGCTATGGCGACGACGACACCGACTATGATGGCCGTATTGTCCTTATCTGTTCGACACGTATAATGAATTTCGAGTCATTGCGATAATTCTCGGATACATATGAGCAATCACGTCGATTACACAAACTTGTTCTTTAAAAGCGACAGATACGAATCTCGCGGACGTAGATAAAACTTGGAACTTGGATTTGCGAGGTCTTACCTGCCAGCAGCAATCCTTGGGCAGACATGTACACGAAATAACGAGGCATGAATTTAGCGAGGCTTTCACTACATGCGCAGTGTGCCTCTATATAAGCTTACGTTACTCATCACATCCGACAAACGTCGGTATTGTTCAATGTTATTTGCTTCAACAACCAACCGATACGTCGCATATATGTAACAGAATTACCGTTTCTTAGACTTTGCTTACTAACCACGTAACGAGAGAGAGAGAGAGAGAGAGAGAGAGAGCACGGGTACGTTAAACCGGAAACGGATTAAACCGCGACTTTTGTTGTTCGTTACGTCTTGAGACATTTCACGCGATCGCTCTCACCTGTTTGAATGGGGAAGCTGTAACTGGTATCCGTAAATTTGTCAGGTGCCGTGAACGCGCGCACCTTCACCCGATACGTTGATCCTGATTTCAACGGTCCGTTGCAGTAGCCGATCTTTTTGTTGTCGCAATTCTCGGAGCCGATCGTGAAGTCCTCCACGGATCCATTTTTGAAAGGATAATACGGCTCCATTACCTACAAAAATATACATAAAACAATAGTTCCCCTTCAACTGCAATTATATATTGTGTAGAAAGTGAGCGCGTATCATCGCGATGAGCACCTGAGTGAATATCTTTACTACTTTCGAAACGAAGTGGTTCAAAAAATCCATCGTTGAATTTCTTTTTTCTTTCTTTTTTTTTTTTTTATTGCAATTTCCTCTATGTTCTATGACGAGCTAGATTTCTGGTTCGTTGCGCAGTTTCTTCAACGCAACGTTAACATCAATACCGATGATATCGTTCAAAGAATCAGCGGCAGGAAATTGAGCCAATTAGTTCGACATGACATCCGCCGAACAATTCGTCCGTTGATAACGATGGCGAAATATTCAGGACCGTAATACGTTACGTAATCGTGCGATGTATTACGTTGATAATTTCTTATACGTTATTTTTAGACGAGAGTCCAATGTAACACACGTTTGTGCGTCATCGAAGATACACATATAAATAGACTTGCAACGCGAGTTTAGAAACTCGCAAGTTTTAAGTGCACTGTCTTCTCGTTAATTCGACAACTCGCGCGCGCACTGAGAACCGTCCTGCGATTTCCCAACTTCCCAAAATGTTCGCGGCACATCTTCGTCTTCGCAGCGTTAAATCGCAACTAGATTACACGCGTATCCTTCAGCCTGTTGCACAGCCGCCGCGTGATCATCACGTTGATCACGGCCCGCGGGCGTTTATGCGTAATCACGGATCTACGCGTAATAACGCGTCGTTTTACAACGATCGTTCGTGATCTTGCAAGTTAACGAGCCTCATGGTATATAATCTGCTGAATCAATTATCTTAAACGGACTGTTTCGCTGCCTATCCTTTCGCCGTATTCTCAGTTCACCGAGTTTAAATTGGTATTACTGATCGTCGTAAGAAGGAAGCTGTACGCATACTTGTTCAACCACTACTCGAGTTAATGTCACGTCCGTCTTGTGAGTTTTATTTTGCCACAATATATATATATATATATATATATATATATATATATAAAAGATCTGCAACTCTATATGTATATATACTATATACATAAGATTCGCTATTGGTCGCCTCAGGACACAATTCAAAAGCGCGGATTTTCATGCACGGATGTCTATATTTTAATTTTAAAGATGTATTTCCTATCGTTTTATATATATATATATATACTTTTTTTTTAATATAAATTATAAATATTTAGGGGTAATTACTGCGTGATAAATAGATATGTAATAGACGTTACCTGGTAAGGTGGCCAAATACTGTAGGCCTGGACGTCTCTCCAACTCGGCATCTCCAATCCAGAAGCATTCTTGCTATCGTCCTCCGCTACAACGATGGTGTACGACGTGACCGCTCCGTTCTGTTCACTAAAGTAATTTTTCCTGAATCTAATTTGAATAGTCGTGCTGCTCCTGCAGACCTCAGTTGGCACCACCTGCGTCGGCGGCTTTGGCGGTGCTAATATCGGCATCTTCTGCTTCCAGATCGCTTCAGGGCCGAAGCCGACCCTCGTCTCCGCTTGGATTCGGAAAGTATAAGTTTTGCCCGGTATAAGGGACTTGATGATCCCGCGGAATTCGTTAGGCTTAAAATCTTGGGTGTGAGTGTGGGTGGAACCCTGGAAGTGGAGTCACAAGATGACATAACTTTTTGACGCGAAGAAACGAAGAAATGTGAAATAACATTATTCGTGTTGCAGTTGTATAAAAAAAAAAAAAAAAAAAAGGAAAACCAAATCGGAAGAAAACTCACTTCTAGTCCATACGTGATGCTAAATTTTCTGATAACGCCATTTTGCTCCTGACTGGGCAGAGACCACACGAAGCTGATGTCACTCGGCTGGATGTCGGTTGGATGAAACTTCTCCACCCTTCCTGGATACGACTCGCTGGTGGTGAAGCTGGCGCTGAGCGGATTCGAGACCCTCAGGTAAGAAGATTCTGTGCCCGAACGTACAACCAATGTGAACGTATAATTTCTATGCGGCTTGAGATCGGATATGACGATCATATTGGCCGTGGTTATGTTTTGGATGTAGTTGCCTTCCGTGTTAATGTACTGCACTTCAAAAGCATCGTACTCTCCATGCGGTAGGTCCCAAGTCAAAGTGATCTTCGTATCATTTATGTCAACCGCGTGAATCTCAGTGATCGGTTCGGGATCTAGAAATCATATTTATCTTCGGGCTAATAAAGACAGTGATGACGCAAGAACGAGTATACCGCCCCGGGGAGAACCCGATTGAATGAAAATTCAGAGGAGTCCGTTGTTAATACAAGTAGATAATAACGACAAGATAACATATACATGTAAATACTAAACAGATATTGCACAGAGATACTGTCGTACGGCACGCGCGACATACGACAAGAGATGTCGTTTCTCTCACTTAATTCTCCTCACTGCCATCTTTCCACAGGTACTTATCCACAGGTACGCGCGTATGTGTGTACAAAGTTACTCAATACCGCGCGATGTTACATCACAAAAGAAATCCTATGTACAAGTGATATCTCGCTGATATATCATGGTCCACGCACCTGAGCGGATTATCTGTGAATTCGTACGGTCCCTTAGTACGTTACGTTAAGTGCACAAATGATTCACACCAAAGATTCAACCCCCTGGATTCGATCACGACGATCAAGCAGACACTCAGCGTTCACTCAGCGTTTGTAGGGGAAAATCGCGAGGTAAGCGCCCATGGAAAGAATTGTCGCTTCTAATTCTCGCAAGACCACGTGAATACTCACAGAGTCTGTCCTGCCGTAGGAGAGGTCTGCTCTCCACATTATCGCTTACTGTCCAGACGGTCACGTTGTACAGTTTGCCAGGTGTTAATCCGACAAATGTCACTTTGGTGTCAGTGTTCTCCACTCTGCGCTCCTCCGTGGTATTATTCGCGTCGCTAATCCTGAACCGGTAGAGATCGAACCTCGAAGACTGAATCGGCGTCGGCGTGTATATCAACGTCAAGGACCCCGGCTGATCGCGATCGACCACTACGACGACCTCGGACTGGATCAGCGGCACTAAATTTCAAAGTTTCGTGTTTGTTTGCCAAGTTGCGACTCGACCTACCGAGATTTCGATCGTCCATTGCCCGTCAGCCTTCGAACGAAATCGCCGAGCCTGTCAAAGGGTAGCATCGCCGAGCTATCTCGGAGACAGAGATAGACCGGGAGAAAAAGTGAAGGAGAGAGAGAAGTATGATATAATAGAAGTGTGAAAGCGAACACGGGGGAAGCGAAACGGACACGTGATTAGTAACCAGGAGATAAGAACTCGTAGGAATCGCGTGTGTCTGTTAGCACTCATGCTCAGGCGAAGTTCGTTAGTCAGCTGTCAACCATAATGGATAACGTAATAAGATCTCCCTCGTTATCGCCGATAACGAGAACGAGCGTATTCACTACGGCGTACTCACTCGTCCTTGTGGTCAGATTGGTGATATCGCTGACCAGATCATAGGAGATTGTGTAGACGACGAAAAAGTACTCCACTCCGGGCATCAAGTCACCCACCAGAACCCTTTCGGTGTGCACAGCGTTCTCTTCGAAACTGATGCCGGACACGTCGTTACTCTCGCTGACGTTCTTCGTCCTGAGGTCCTCCGGGTTCTCCATCGGCCACCACTTTATAACATAGGTCTCGATTCGACCTTCAGGCCGCGGCCACTCCAGAGTCACGTTCGTGGAGTCGATGATCGGCGTGATATTCAGAACCGGGTTGGGTCCTTACGACAGGGAGACTCTTTTAAGTATGAGTATTTAGGTATAAATCGACAATCGCGATGTATGAGACACGATTGCAGGCGAATAACAAAGAAAAAGAAAGAGAAACTTCTGTCTGATTTTAGACTGGATGTATCTCTGAACAGCGTCGGCTTAAAGGATCGTGAGAAACATTTTAATCCTTCAACAATAGTCCTTTATTTTAGTTAGTCCCGTTTAATTGATCGAAGGACCTAGAACCTGGATATGGAAATGGATTCTGGTTATAGGAAAGTTCTTTTTCGTATACTTACTGACTGTGTGGTTTACTTGCAACGGGTACAAACTTTCGACGCCGTAGCTGACGGTGTTCACTTGTATGGTGTATCTCTCGCCTGGCGTCATATCCGCTACTTCCGCTTCCGTTACGCGGACGCTGGGTAGCTTCTCCCACCTCGGCTCATCCTCTGTGCGATATCTGATGGAGTACTCGGTGAATATCGAGTCGGTCGGCGCTTCCCAGTGTACAACAACGGTGTTGCTCGTGACTTTCTCGATGCTCAGGTTTTTTGGTGGATGAGGCACTGTTAAGTTGTTGATGAATCAGGTAAACCGGCACGGTTGGTGTCGGACGAGAGAGAACACTGTGGGGATCCGGAAAGATCAATAATTAGTACACTTACAGACGGCTTGCAGATAGTCGTGCGGCTCGCTTCGGAGTCCATGACTAATGGCGAAGACCTTGACCTCATATGCTGCACCGGGATAAAGATCTTCCAAGACAATGTGCGACTCCGTGGTCAAAGTGGTAGCACTTTCCCCGGTGTCGTTCCTGTTGTGGGTCACCTCGAATTTCTCTTGCTTGGAATTGACGTCGCTCTTCCAGGATATATTCAAGCCCTTCTCGATCGGCTTCAGATCTTCGATTATGGGACTAGCTGGACGTGTCGCTTGGTACAGAATAGTCTCGTTCGATTCAATTTTATTGCTGATCGCTTGAACTATTATGGAATAATTTCTTCCCGGCAAGAGTGCTTCCAGTGTGACCTGTCGATTTAACAAGCGTGTCATATGCGCGTATACCAATGTATGTGCACAAGTTGAAACACTTAGAAAGTTGCAACGTGAAAGTGCTTCCGATTCGCAACTAACGTAACGCGCTCACCTGCGTTTTATCGGTGGTCAATGTGTTGCTGTCGCCGCCAATCGTTGTTTCCACTTCGTGGTATTGCAACTTGTAACTGTCTTGCGTGCTGGTATTTTCTGGACTCCAGGAAACTTCCACCATACCGGTTCTCTCATCAATCACAGCCCGGAGATCGCGAACAGGCAGCGGCTCTGCAAGCAAGCGCGAGCAAAGGTCAAGGAGCGTTAGAGTTATAAACAATTACGCGTGTCGGCGCTTTCAGCGAGCACTGCTGCTTGAGAATGAACGTGAAGATCGTCAAGTGGACACGTACTCAAAGTAACATCTCCGCTGGCGGGCCAACTGGTAACCTTGCCAGAAACGGTCTTCACTACCACCTGGTACGTCTTGCCAGGCTCCAAGTCCTTGAACTCCCATCTGCTCTCGTCGTCTCGATTTCGTGTAACCGGTGTCAGTCTGCGATTACTACCCAGCGATATTTGATACTTGTCGAACTCGGACGTGCCGTTCGGCGGGTTCCAAAATACGCGGAAGGAAGTCGACGTCACGGAAGATTTGTCGAAGGTCACGTTGAGAGGACGCAACGGCACCGTACGGTATTGGGCCGTAGTGGGCGCGGACGTTTCATCCTCGGAGACGGTCTGCACGGAAATGTTATACGCTCTGCCTGTAATTAGAAATCCGATTTCAAAGGAACGAAACAAACGTGTGCAGTTCGTGTGACTGCCGTGACTGATTATCGCGCGAATGCCGTCGTCGTGTGATAGTTGATGCGATTAGTATCTTATTTCATCTAACTTCATCTTATCTAAGCCGTTTTGTTTAGCGAGCAATACCGCGGACTTTTCCATGTCTTGTCCCTTTGGAATGTCAACGGAATCAATCGCATCAATTGCCACACGCAGCCTTTCTCAAAAATAAAATCATCATTAACTCTCTCTAGGCGATTATTCGCCTAGATCGTTCGAACTTAAATCAACTCCAATCTGATTCAATCCAACCAAACAACATTTGCACATCGCACATTATTTATACGACGGCGAGGAAAACCTCGCTTTATGCTTCATTGGTCACGAGACAGTTTGAAACAGTTTCACTATGGATTTTTGCACCGTGGCCGGTTTCCTCTCATTGCACCACAACTTTGCTGCTTTCGAGGGAACCGCAGATATATCGACGGCGGTGACAACGAATATATATATTCCGTCGAACTTGTATAATCGGGCGAATTGAAAGTCCACGGGGAGGGGGAGAGGGGAGGGAGGGTCGAATGTAGGAAACGAGACGTTTGTGGTACAGAATTAAAAGTTAGGTCACAATGACCGGTCTCTGCTCGATTCACTCTTGCGGTTCACGAATTGCTCTATTTGTAACGGGCGTGTTACTTTCTCCGCGGTTCTAGCTGGAGCAGTTCCGCTAGAGCAGGATGAAAGAGAGGAAAAAGAGGACGACGACCCTCCGCCACACGCGCGGCTTAATCTCGAAATGTCAGCGCGTGTGCGGCGTTGACATTTCGCGACGTAATATGCGTAATTTATCCGTAACTCGCGCACGAATATCCCCGGGCCCGCTTTGCGCGACGTAAATTCGGTTTATTTGCCGTGTTCGTTAGCTGAACGTTATGCGCGGGTAATTGCACGACGGCAAACGGCTGACCTGGAACGAGTCCTTTGAAAGCCGCCTGTGCAGGACCAGGTGGCTCGCCTTCCTTCTCCACATAGAGAACGGACTCTATGGCGTCCGGTGGATCTATACTGACTTTGTAATGAGTATAAATCCCGGCAGGATACGGCGGCTGCCATAGTACCAGCAGCGTCGTCTCGTTCCGGAACCAGACGATGAACTTGCCCGGGGTGTTCGGCTCTACAAATGGCTCGACGTTAGACGCTCGCCGATATGTTCGCATTTCGCCGGTATTTCGTCCTTTCGGCGGGTTTACGTACTCGTTGTGAAATTCCTGCTGGTGTAGGCGACACTCTCTTTGGCGTCCAGCACGGTGAACAGCTGGAGCGAGTACGTGGCGCCGGGAGTGAGGTCCCGGAGGGTGTAGGGCACCGAGTCGACCGGGATGACGCTGGTTTTAGGGTTGCCGGTGTCGCTGAAGCTCTGCGTCCGCAGCCGGAAACCGGAATAATTTCCCTTGGCCGGGGGCGACCAATAGACGATCGCGGTTTTCCCATTTCGCACCGAGATCGTCAAATTCGAGGGAGGGTCGGGCGCTGAAGATTACAAGAATCGCGTCGCTCGGTACATTCCGGATGAAAATTCTCTCCTCCTTTTCTTTAATTTTTCGTTTAATCATACCAACCGCGCCTTTTTCAACGACCATTATCTCTCTCTTATCGATCAATCACGTACAATCGTTATAAATTAAGGACCTCGTCGAGAGAGCGCTCAAGAGACGTTTCGAAGGAAAGGCATTCTCGAACCGGAAGAGATATTACGCAATCAGTTACGAACAGCAACGAAGAATCAACCCGCGTGAAAAACGCTTCCGAAAATGTCGCTCGCGTATCTCTGGTTGTTCCGACAGAATGTTACTTTACGGTATAACACGCACATACAGCGAAGATTATATTCAAAAATATGTTGACCGTCGCTCAATACGCATGCTGGAGGAATACGCACGTGTGGTGATTGACGCGGTCCACGTCAGCCAATCGTGAAGGGTGCTGTTGCTGTAGTACAACCAGTACTCATATTTTGTCCCGGGCAGGCCGTCCTTGAACTTTATGACATCACCGATCTCGGTAGCGGCTATAGTGGTGTTAGGCGGCGGCGAGCCGACGGGCGGGCTGTACTCCAAACGGTACCAGGAACCACCCTGGCTGAGATTTCCCGGTATCTCGATCGCGAGATCGGCCGAATACGTGACCTACGGACGAAACATACAGAAACGGTGTCGTTCATTGTCGTCGCTGAATAACGCGCACCGTCGTTCGCTCGCGGTAGTCGAAGCTTGCGCAAGATTCGCGCATTGGGACTCGTAAATCTCGACAAACGACTAACACGCGCGCGGATTCGCCGACGTGTTGCACGTGTTACGGCTAATTAATCGATCCCCCGCGTTGCTGAAAACTCGACTCACATTCCGCGCACGGAGAAGAAAGATCAGCCACGACCTGAGCAAACGAATCGAGCGCGTTCTAGTCGAAGGAAACGCGATTTCCGCCTCTTACGGGACAAATTCGATAAACAACAAGGTGCGCTCGGTTCGTTCACCGTCACGACAATTCAACCGATGTTTTTACCTCGTGCGATGCATTCTTACGCAGAGCCGCAGTACACACGGCCGGAATATGGGAATATGCGTACGCCTAACTGTTTCAGCCGACTATGCTGAATTTCAGATTCATCTCGACACTTGCGCGCTCTCACGGTCGCGCGCAATATTGTAATCGTGATCCGTCGATTATGCGCGCGTGTTGCTAAGGACCCGTTATAAATCAGCGGCGTATCTTGAATTTCAAGACTCTAGCGTCCTCGAGGGTGATCGAGAGACTCGTGAAACTTAAGAGAACTGGATCTGAGCTCGCAAAGTATCATTTGCGTCACTGATGAAGTTCTATATATTTATTCCCTCCCCCCCTCCCCCCCTCTCTCTCTCTCTCTCTCTGCCCCTCTCGTTCTCCGCCTGTATCTATATATTTTACATTTATATAAAAATTTTATTGTATCGTTTTATTGCGTTAAACGTGAAGAGCGATGTAGTAGAAAAGCGCTCGTCAGTGTCTCATCCTGCTAGTGACAGTTATTCAATTCAATGCAATTCGTATATTCTTACGTGTGATACATCGCGTACGATTTGCGCGATATGAAACAACCTTAACTTTGTGGGTAACGTTGAACGAGGCTCACGACCTCCGTTCGATGCTTCGCTTTCTCCGTCGCGAAATTTCGCTGTTAACTTGCGAGCCACTTACACCAAACGTTTTCATCTGCCTCTCCAATCGCGACGAGTCCCCACGGTAATGCGATTATTATTCCGTTAACGTCATTCCAGACTTGGTCCAGCTTGGAGAGGATTGAGGGGGGGATTGAGCAAGATCGGGGACAGTGATCGGTGAGAAATCAGCGATACATCGATCCGCGCACGTGAGGTGGATGTACTCGCTTGTGCTCCGCGTAGCTATGAATTCTGATCAATTACGAACGGCGTATGTGCATGACGTACACGACTTGGGAAAGAGGAGCAGCGCGGCGAATCTATAACATCATCGCTGACGTGTAACACGCACGTTCTGCGACGAGCAGGTCGCAGATATATAAAGCATCTCAACTCCATCTCGCGCTGCTACTGAATACAATGTGTCATACGTGTCGCGTATGTGCGAGGAAAGGTGTCGAAAGAGCGCGAGTCGCGGCGCGCGGAGCGTACGAGGAATGCTTGAATTTTAATTATTGAGGGAGGAGCGATATCAACCCCCCGATCGTTCGCCAGGAGCAATCCGGAGATAACTTCACTCGCTAACGCGAGCGCGACATTCTCACTCGGACGTGGAAGCGGCGAAGTTGCTCTTCCTACATCCGCTCACGACAGTGAAGTGCATATTGATCCCTGCTCTACCTCCCTCTGTTCCTTTGCGACGTCCCTTTTCCCACCTTCCCTTTGCCTCTCTCGATCCTCGACCATCCACGGGCTGCCTATCTCCCGTGGCTGCCGCCGCGTGGACGACGACAGGAACTCCTAATTGTACAAAGAAGGGCTGAATAGCTCGCCCGGCCCGGCCTGGCGGGCTCAGCCGAGAGAGAATCGGAAAATGCGAGACTGGTGTGAGGCATGCGAGAATTTCATTTGCTCGCCGGCTCACGGCTGGGGCTGGGAAGGAAACAAATTCAACTTGCGGTTGGAATTATTGCCGTGCATACTAGTGGCGATTAAACGCAGCTGTTCGACTACACGGGCGAAACGCGCGATTCGTCTGTCGAAATGGCGCAAAATGTCGCGAATGATGAAGAGAGAGAGAGAGAGAGAGAGAGAGACTGGGTTCAAGAAGATTTGATGAAAAGACATATTTCCGTGCTCTTTTGTTTCTTTGGCAAAATTATTTTCTACATTTGCTGCGATTTCAAGATCCCTTGCATTATCCCCCAAAAATAAGGTAATAAATAAATAAATTTCCCAAGAAATAATGATAGCGGAAAATTCCGACTTTTCGAGACGATGCGTGTTCAGCGTTTAATCGCCATTCGAAAGCGCCGGAGGCACACTTCTCCAGGTCCGTCTGAGATCCGTGTGTGAGTAACAAGGCGGATATACGAGCCAATGAGACTCGTGGCGAGAGAGATCTACGTCATTCGGGGGAAAAAAGAGTTGGTCGCAGATGTAATTTAAGCCCCGCCATCATGCGATCTTGCGACGCGAAGCGTAGCTCGCTGTGCGCCATAAAATCCTGAAACAACGCGGAGCGGAACAAGCGCAGTACAGCAGCTGCGTTAGCTCGCTGCTGCTGGAGTTGCAGTTAAAGCGCGGGGAAAAGAGGCGGAAAAATCGCGCTGACTCATCGATCCTGATAGCGATCTTGGAAATCGGAAATGGCAGATCTGTCGACCCTTGCGCGACATGGTGTATGCGTGTGGTTGCGGCTCGTATGTTCGGAGGAGGGGGGGCGGGGACGACCGCGCCTCACTTCCGGTTGACCGTCGTCACGCGCCTCGCGTGCTTCCGACCTCAAGCAGTTTCGTCCGTGTTCGATGTGTGTGGAAGTAGGTGGTAGAGGTGGAGTCATGGAGTGTCCGTGACACTCCGTTGACGATACGTCCATGACACTTGGCGGCTGACGCGTACGTCCGTCACCCTTTCTGTGATCCGCATCGGTATCCTGTTATTAGAGTATTAAACGGGTTTCACTCTCCCGGGTCTTTTTTTAGCTGCGCTCGGGGCAGCAGATCGTGTGCGTACAACGCGTCCCGTAGACGTAGAAACCTGCATGTCGAGAATGTGTCAGATTGGCTCGGGATAATCTCTCGGTCGGAACGTACCATCGATTTTCCCGTGACACTGTTTCACGTGTCACTGGGATAATCGGCGAGCGAAGAGAGGGAATCAGTTTTCAGCAGCGCTGTCGGTACAAACTGGGAAGTTTTTGATTGATGGCTCATCCGAGTATCCCGATATTTGTCTGGTACCTAAATCCGCTGATACTACTATTCGGGGTAGTCGGGTATTTCAAAAATACTCGGGATATTCGGTATCAAGCAGAGATATTCTTGGTATAATAGAAGTAGATATATTGAATAAGGCTCCAAAATCTCGGTGTAATTTCGAGATCTTCGAACATTATCTAAAGATTCGAAATTTTGAAGCTTTCACAATAGAGTTAATTTTGAGGATTACAACAAGATTAGTATTGTCCGTGCATTCGAGTGTTTGAATATTCGAGCTTTGAAATTTTATTATTGGAATATCTCGAAATTTCAGAGATTTGAAGCGTTGAAGAGAGCCGGAGCTTCAAATATAATATAAAGAAAATATTATTCAATATATTCAAAGTATGATTTCAGATGTATCGTATGTGACAAGTTATAACCGCATCATTGATCGAATGCAGCGAAGCTATATATCGCTCACGATTTTAATAAAATAAGTACCTCCGAGCACAATGAATCATGCTTATCCCTCTTCCGGTGCATTACGTCGATATAGAAATTGCTAAGCCGCATCCTCTATTACAGTCATATCGCTCAATATTGCGCTACATGTTTGCCTGGATATTTATCTCCACTAAAAAGTCTCTCTCTCTCTCTCTCTCTCTCTCTCTCTCTCTCTCTCTCTCTCTCTCTCTGAGGAAAGCTATACGAAGAGTTGTAGACAAGCAAAAAGGAGGTCGTTAGGATAGAAACTACCTTCCATTGTTTAACTCTTCATTTCTGATTTACCACAAGTCGGACGTGGCAAATTTTTACAAGAAAGAGTTTAATACACAGAAAGTTGGTCGCGCGCTGGCGCGACGGAGATCCAATATTCCCTTTGTCTGCTTGAGCCCCCGTAGGCAGGACCAAGGGAACAAATACATGAGACGCATTCTGGTTCACGAACGAGTCCCGAATCTGTAAATAGGCGAGTCGCCGTAGTCGTGCGTAGAATGCCAGAAAGGTGGACGGACGAACGAGCGTCGGAAAAAATTCCGGGCTCGCCCGTACGCAAACAATACCGAGAACAAAATAGACGTCGCAATGGTCGCTATGGTATGGATTAACAACGCGAGAAAGAGAGAGGTCACCGTGCCATGAGCCGCGAGAGCAAAGGCAGCGACGCAGCGGGCGTTCCGAGCGGTAAGCTGTTGATTAGTCTCTCTTCTGTTGGCGGAGTTTTGTTACCTCCAGATCCAGGTAACGAGAAGCGTCATTGAGACCGCTTTCGATCGCAATCCTCCTGACATGAGTACGCGTGGTTACAGTACGTTCGCATCGGGTTCGGCGAAATAGACTAGACTGCTGCTTCGACGAATAGGAGAATATTTCCCCGTGAAGACCGAGAGACAGTCTCTCTCCTTCGCCGAACTTTGAACGGAACGAGGCTCTCATTCCGAAAGTGCACCCGGCACAGAGATTCTAAGTAGCTCGCGTGCTTCACCATCTTTATCCCATGCAGAACCTGTTGCACGACCTTGTTCGATTCGTGCATGGAAGGCCTCTCCCATTTCCCCCCTTTTTTATCGCCACTCGATACACTCCCTTGCGTAATTTATCTATTTCTCGGCGAAGCGTCCCGCTCTCTCCGCCTCCCGTTACATTTTTGCGTCTACGCGGCGGGCAAGTATTTATTGCGCCTTAAACGTCTTCAATTAATAAGTTCGCGCGATCCGCGGAACAAGTTGCCGGGCACCGCGCGGAACGCTACTCGCGAAGCTAATTATTGCGGGAAACGCGATT